AAAAAAAATTTTTTTTAATAATTGATTTTGGAAATTAACGAAATTTCAATGATGAATAACTGTTTTTCTTAGATCTAAATAATTTCAAAAATTGCTGTCTGAAGAAATTATTGTTTGGAAGTGAGTCACGTTTGGAAGATTTTACGTTTAACACAAAAAAAGACACCAGTGTTTCATGCTGAATTTCATAACCATAAATTATTAAAATGCAAAATATAATATTTTTCAATTATTTTGACGTAAATTAATTAAAAATAATGAAAAAAAGTAAAAAAAATATGCTTGATAAAAAATTTTCTTCAAGGAGCTAAGGTTTAAAGAAATTTCATATTAGCTGGAAAACGAGGAACCCAAACGAAACAGTAGTGTAATTGGAGCTTAAATGGAAGCGTATGTTGCCAGAGATGTCTTTAGTTGTTTTAAACCGGTATTTAAAAAAATTATATTAGAAAATACAAATTTTTGAAATTATTGCGAATTGCTGGCTAAAGTTAAGAATTGTTGACTAAAGCTTATTGAAATACGATACAGCTTACTGCAACCTTTATATGGTGCTAACCATAATATTGAACCTGATTGCACAATGTACTATTGATTCGTTTAACACATTATCATGGTTCAGCCAGTGGTCTAAAAAGGTGTGTGGATGTTCGAGGAAGACTTCTCGATTAAAAAAGAAATTAAGAAAGAAATTAGATTAAAGAATTAAAGAAAGAAAAGAAATTAAAAAAGAAATTAAGTCAATAAAAGAGGTAGAAAAAAGGCTAGTTAATAAAAAAAAAGAGAAGCTTGAACTATATAGAAATCTAAATCTATATTTCTAACTCATTTTGATAAAAATTATTCTTTGGTAAAAAATTTATAATTTTCAATAAAATATTCTTAAATATTTTTTTAAAAAAAATCTTACATTTTTATGACCAAAATCATAATTATTACATTTTTTCTTGAAAATCCCATTTTTTTGTTCATAAAATATTTTGCTCAAGGGAATTATTTATCGATTGAAAAAAATTAGTCTAAAAAAGAAAATTTCGTAATAAATTCAGATTTCGTCTCAATGCCTTAAGATGTTGCCACCTTAACCCCCACTGCAAGCTACTGGGATCACCGTTGTAATTATATATATAAATATATATATACTACGATTTTTATCGTAATTGAAATTATAAATTGGTGTGAATTTTATTATTTTTCAAATAAAACGTGATAAGACATCTAATAACATGCAATAAAAACTTAAATAAAACATCCTTACATACTAAACCATCACTTTTTATAATTATTTTTAGATTCCTAGTCAAAAATTAAATCAAAAGATAAATATACGAACTATCGCAAATATGTTATATTAATATCAATCAATCAATATTTGATAAAAGAAGAAAAAGAAAAGAAAATGTGGCATTGAAATCTGTGAAAGCACTAGTGAGGAAAACTGAGGAAAAAGCATCAAAACCAGTTTGATTGCTTAACATAAACTGAGAAGTGTTTAGCACACCTAACGACTTTTCCAGCTTAAAGTATATATATTTTTTAAAGTACTTAAAATAGGAGCAAATTGCATGATTTGACGTTTGAATTCAAACATTATTAAATATAACGATATTGAAATATTTTTTTATAAAAGACCACTGAAACAAGCTGTGATGTATTTAAATGCTGACAAACTTTAAACTCAGTTTGTTGATGAGTTGCTTCACTACCATTTAAACAGCTAAAACAATTTTTAAGTAGAGCTATAACAACTAGAACTGCTTCTGCCTTTCTTTCTTTCTGTAAACAAGTTCCGTAAACACTATTAATGTTGTAAGTCTCGCCTTCTTCACTAGTGATTAGTTGTTTTAGTTTTACCTCGTTTAAATATTAATTTGCGTCATGTAATACGCGTACTTCTTTTTATTTCTCATTTAACAAAGACTCTATAAATATATATCAAGGACACTTAACGCTTTTTTTTAAATAAAAATATAAGCTTTTTTCACTCCAATATATTGCAAATTTTAAGAAAATAATAGCTTTGAGGCACACTTAGCCAAATTACCCGAAGAATTTTTATTTTAAAATAATATGGAGCTATTATAAATTGGATCATAGCTTGAATAATTTTGTTTAAAAATGCTAGAGTGCTACAGTCGCCATCATTTAATTGCAGATCGGATTATCGAATAACACATTAATACGAATAAAATTTAATGGAACCAAATCATTTTACATGAAACTAATGTTAAATTTCCCTGTTTAAATGGATATTTGTTGTTCTTTTATCCCAGCCTAATTGCATAAAGAAGAGATAAAGAAATAAAATAAAATAAAATTTTTCATTTTTGAGAAATGTTTCACTAGCTAAAATGGAATTTACATTTTTCAGTTAAGATAAGGATGTGGTCACTTCAATATGGACTTCCTGTTCATTAGTTGGTCTAAAGAAATTTAATTTCGAAAGCATTTGAAAGGAATACGCAAGTCATGAAAGTCTTAGTAGAAACTGAGAGTGAAAATTTGACTATGATAAATTGGCAAATTAAACGGGTATAAAAACAGTCTTCAATAATAGATTTTTTTCGGAAGGGATCAAATAATATCTTGGTACCTATATTAAACTTTTCACTAACATTTTATGTAACTTTAAATGACATTTATATTTCATGATACTTGTACAGACAGTTTTAATTATAATTGATCATAAAACTGAGTTTATTTAATCAAAACGCTATACTATTCATTAAATACCATTAAAAAGTAAATTTTCGCAGAAATTTAGAATTAAAGAGTGAATATTGCACTTCCCTTTTAACCGAATTACCCACTTAATTCCATAGATTTGGCTGGAACCGATGGTAGCGGGGTTGACTATACCAACATTAAAAATTTCGAGCGATTTTTTTTAAATGTCTAAAAATTGAGTATTTTTTATACTATATAAGAAATTACAGAATTTATAATTGCAATTTTTTCACTTGTTTTTTGTGAATATATCTCCCCCTCTTTTTTTCAAATAAAAAATATGTTTTTTTTTTTCTGACTATTTTTTCTAACAATATTTTCTGACAATAATATCAGGACAAATTTTATTTGCATAATTTTGTAAATTGAAGTGACACTGATTCACTGAAAATTTGATTTCCTAATACGATTTTTGGGATTTGGTACGAATTCATGATACTATTTCTAAGGAGAGATTTGATTCGAATCCATGATACTGCTTATGGTTAAAGATTTGATTCAAATTCACAATACTGTTTGTGATTAAAGTTTTGACTTGAATTCACATAACTCTAAAGATTGGATTCAAATTACTATATTAACTCAAATAATATAATTATTATAATTCAAATAGTGTTTGTGAGGAAAGGTTTAATTCAAATTGATGACGCGATTTGTGAAGAAAGATTTTATTCAAATTCACAACTACTGATTCTTATTTTAAATATTTTAAAACTTTTAGTGTTATCTGTATTTTTATTAGAATCTTAGAATTGATTGATTTTATATTAAGCTATCTTGTTTTGTTTTTTTCAATCAAGTAACCTTGCATTTTAGTTAAGCATTTCATTGTGTTGGTTAACAAAATATATAGATGAGTGAATACATTTTAAATATTTAAAAGATACAGTGGTATGAAAGTGATTCAAGCCTGCAACTTAAAAATGAGAAAAATAATTCAGAATATAAATTACCTCATTAGATATTGAAACATCTAATATTGTACTGGAACAGGCAATCTTGTAAGAAATATATTGAAAAGATACAATTAAATACATTGGTCAAAAAGTACTATTAAATACATTGGAAGGTGAAAACAATGATAGCTGCGACCAGCTATCATTGTTTTCACGTTCATTCGATAACCATCCAATCAGCAAAGGAGTTTAAAAGAGTTTCTTATAGAAAAAAATATTTAAAAAAAAGAGTTCATTTTAAATTATTATATATTTAAAAAAGAAATTTATGCAAATGTTCAAAAAGGACTGTTTTTAATGGTCTAGAATCCGAAATAACATATATCTTTAAATGCGGTTCAGCAGAATTAATTGCAATATTAGCATTATGTGCATCAATCCTTTGCTGTTACATTACAGCTGTTTCTTTGACCATGGTACGCCTGTGTCTGTTTCAAGACGTTGCAACAATACAAAAATATATAATTCTCAAACATTTTTTGCACGTTACCTTCAACTAGTTGGCAGTTATTTCAAAAACAAATTAATTTCTAAACTAAATGAGTTCATTTTAAATTATTGCGTATTTAAAAATGAAATTGATGCAAATGTTCAAATAAGGACTGTTTTTAATGGTCTAGAACCCGAAATAACATATATCTTTAAATGCGGTTCAGCAGAATTAATTGCAATATTAGCATTATGTGCATTAATCCTTTGCTGTTACATTACAGCTTTTTTTTTACCATGGTACGCCTGTGTCTATTTCAGACGTTGCAACAATACAAAAATGTGTAATTCTCAAACATTTTTTGCACATTATCTTGAACTAGTTCACGGTTATTTTAAAAATAAATTAATTTCTAAGCTAAATTTTGTTAGCCATTGCGTGGCTTAGATTGCAAAGTGGAAGCATTTGAAAGCAATCTAGGAATTTTGTTTTTCAGAAAAAGGCGATTTACCTGCAAATGATGAGCTACATAATAAAAGATGGAACCAAAATCTTTCCATTCAAAAAGTATTCCAATAAAATACGGCGCACCATCTAAAAATCCAAGTCAAAACGAATGAAATAAAGGTGTAAATTCCAGATAGCCGGTCACAATTCAACCGTCACAAATATCACTGCTTTAAAATCTATAAATTTCAAATCATTTACTGAAATAAAACATCAGTCTAGAATGTTATGAAGAACTATAAACAAGCACAACCAACGCACGCGCACTTTGTCTCTCTATTAACATAATAAAACCATAAGGTAATTGATCGAATCGTACCAAACCTGGGGAAAGCCCACCCCTCTAGCAGAAGTTCCCTACACAATAAATCATGACTCACCAATAGGACTTGCAGCCACATACAGAACTATTAGCAGAACATCGAACATGATGATACCGGCACAAAGATTTTCATCTCCGCTATCGCTCTGGACCTCTGCAGAGCATTTACAAAAATCATCATCTTAACACAAAAAAAAGAAAAGAAAGATAATTATTTACATCAGAGAAGAGCGAACTTTGATCACTAAGTATTTCTCTAATCAGAAACTCAAGACACTAAATCCCATTGGTGTCATAGACACAAACTGAGAGATAACAGTACCGAATGAAGCGCGATTCAGAGACTGATAAAAAGCGAAAGATTAAACAAATAATGAAAAAAAGTAAATCGAATTGTGGGTTCCTGAAGTATCAGGGGAAGGACAAACAAAAGCACCCCGCGCAGAACAGCTGCTGAGATTCTATGAAAAAAGGGGAAAGCGCTTCCGGTCACGATGGCGGTAGTGCTGCCATCTTGGGCATGCGTGAGTAACTAAACTTGTTCCGGTCTTTGCACCTGTCCTTGGAAGAGATACAGGAAGTTTCATAGAACCGGTAAAATTAACAAATGAAGCAATTTGTTTTCCATTCGTTTAACTATCGGAAGTTGAAGGATTATCTGTTAAGCTGAATTATTATACCTAGTTAATCTTTTCAATAAAACCTTAAGAAGCTCGTATTTTAAAGGAGTTTTAATTCGTTGACTCTGAGTATTTGGAATGGCAAAATACAATTTGTGTTGTTCTTAAATGGATTGTTACATAATTAATAAAAAAAATTGTATATTGCATATTAAATCCCTCTTTAATCAATGTTCATAGCATGGGAGTCACGACAGTAACTAGATGAATATGAGCTCAATCTATAATTAATTTCTAATTGCTCACTCATTAACTATTTTTATTTATTATTTATTTATTTGCAATCTAACTAGGGTAGTGCACAAAATAAAAAAAAATGGGCATAACTTAAATAATTTTTTCTCTAATAATCAGTTTACTTCTGTGAATAGTCCTCAAACAAAAAACGATCGAGTAGTTCTTGACAAATCAAATTATAAATATGCGGCTTTTTTAAAATTTAATAACTCAGAAACTAATACCGATGAGCTCAAATATTGCATTTTGCTGTTTAAAATTATTCTCTTAAAATTATATAAAAATTTATACGTTATAATATGATAATTCTTTTAATTCAAAAAAATGTCAGACTATTTTTCAGTTAAGCAGTAAAGAATAATTAAAAAAAAATTTTGCACGGAATTATCTTTAGGAGAATCAAATGTTAAAATTATGCGCAAAAAATGTTCGATTTGCGTAAAATTTTCTTATGATTTTCCTCTTCATGGCGAAATGCGCAAATATTAAAATTAAAAGACTTTCAACCGCTCTTCTGGCATGACTAATCTAATGGTACCATATTTCCCATATTTCGTGGAAATCTGACAGAAAAAGGCATGTTTATTCAGAGGGTACGCTTCTGTGTCTAATTTTGTAACTTAAAATATCGTCTGCGCTATTTAATAAGCATATCTCTCGAATCATTAAGACTAAGTCCTATTACGTAAGAGACCTGTTATTAAATTAAAAGTTATTCATATTAAACTGATTATTTATTTATTTATTTATTTTTTATTTTTTTATTTTTTTTTTGTAGCAAAAAAACCTCAATCTATGTGTGAATTAATCGGATCGAAACAAAACTATTTAGTAAATTTAATAAGTTTTAATATCGTTTTCATGAGATTTAGTTTTTTAATTTTCTTATTTCAAGGAAGGAAAGAATGGTGAAAACATTAAGTGATTAGCTTAGCTGCCTTCCGGTAAGTCAATTATTGATCTAATAATTATTGGTTAGCCATGTGATTTGATAGACCGATCTGTCCCAGTATTTTCTGCGTTGAAGGTTTCCATTGATCTAATTCATTGAGTATTAAGCTGAATCCCTTAACAGATCCCTTTAATTTTAATTTATAACAGTATTTTATTGTTATTTGCAATTGTAAAACGGTTTATAATATTAAAACACCTTTCTAAATAACTATGTCATAAAATGAAGCGCAGAATTACATTATAATAATGAGGAAGAAGAAAAAAAAACAATTCTCTTAGTTTTAAACTCTTGAATTAAAAACGTAATAACAGCAGTACAGGAAAATAACTTTAAATTAGGGACATAAAAATATTTATAGAAAAACACTACCTTTATGATTTTTATTAATTTTACGCTCATGACAATTAAAGCAATATGGAAATAAATGAAGGAAAATTGGATCTTACAACGTGATTTTCCGGCCAATAAAAATTCACGGACAACAATGGAAAACTGCCACACCATCAGTAGATTTTTCTATATAGTAAGATAAAACTGTTACTATACTTGAAACAGCTCAACACTTGTAACAGCCCCATTCACTTAATCATAACCTGGGGTAATTCCTGATCAAAAAATACAAACATCTATTCTGTGGAAAAACTATTCAAGATAGAAATTTAATATTTACTGGAAGTTTGTGGCTATATGAGATGAGTCCTATGCTGCCTTCTTCTGTTTGAAAATCTAATTAGAATTTAAAGGATTTTAAATTTTTAGTGATCAGGAATTACCCCTTCTCTTCATCATTTCTGGGGTAATTCCTGATCACCAGTTTTTATAGTAAATGGGCTGTTTAAAAATAATTATACAATGATAATTAACTAATAAGACATTGAGATCAAACAAATAAACCAAAAAGATATTTTAAAGCAGCTATTAAAACGTTTTATTTAAAAGCAGGAATAAAGATTAACACTTCAGCTCTGGCAGCAGCTCTCACACTGAAATTTTCATTTTCAATCATTAAAAGAAATTTGCTATTTTTGCTTTCTTGAAGCTTAGCATCCTTTTTAGGCTTATTATTTCTCATGATATTCATATAAGGTTAATTTATCAACTTAAAAATTATTCTAACAATGTACACACATAAAATTAAGATAGAAGAAAGGTAAGACAAGCTAGAAATAGTGCATATCAGAACACATTTGTCTTGAATACAGTTAAAAACAAATTTTGTGATTATAATTAAAATATATTTTATAGTTGTTCCACTTAATAAATATGAACTGTTATTTAAGAAAGGACAATTAACTATTTATTAGCTATTTTTTGTACTATTTATAAGAAGAAATGACAATGATCAGGAATTACCCCAGTGATCAATAATTACCCCATCTGTAGGGGGCAACATTTGATATAGTTTCCTATAATCAATTATAATGTTTACAGTAGATGTGAAACAATGAAACAAAAGCTTACACTATTTTTATATCAAAGAAAAAGAAAGTAACTCAAAATATTTGTTATTCAGAGAAGGAGGGGGATCTTTGCAGAAATGTGCACATTTTGAAACCCATCTTTGAAGTGGAAAATACAGAAAGCATTTTAAAAGATACTTATTTTGTTAGATTAAACAAAAAACTATTATTAAGTAAATGTAGTTATACTTTAGTAAAATGTACAAGCATTCTCGTCCATGTCTCAAATTTTAAAAAAAATACTTTTTTTAAAAAATAAAACTAAGGTGATCATTATTTACCCCAGAAACAGAGTGATCGTGAATTACCCCGGGTCACCCTACTAAATATTTCTGAGGTTGGTACGATTAAGGAAGCAGGTGGTGCGAATTAGTTTCTTAAATCTCACCACTTGAAAACCTTGTAAAAACAATTAATTTCTAGTACTTTACTGTACAAGTATTATTAACAGAAAATAATTTAAGTAGTTGAATAACTGTATTTCATTATTAAAATAATGAAATGCAATGGGTACTTGCACTCCGAGAAAAAGAAGACAACCAATAATCACGCATGTGACCTATGACGTTAGATCCAGCTAATCTTTATCAGCAATATGGAGTATTAAAGTTAAACTAAGCTTCTCTACATAATTTAAAATGTCAATTAACGTTAAGTTAATTAAATACAGGGCCGTATAGCACATTGAATTTGTTGAAATATAATTTTTTCTCGTCTTCTTATTTTACTTAACTTAGATTTATTATTTGTTTATGTATTTGATTGTAACCGTGATATATTTTTGTTTTGTGTGTATCGCAAATTCGAAGCGTAATAAGTTTGATTATGTTCTACATGACTTCATGCCTATCTTCGTGTTAAGTAAAAAATATATTATGAAAGACTTGGAATCTTTATGAAAGAATCTTTGTGTAAGAATATAGAATGTGACACTTAAGAGAATTGATAATTGACGGGCTTGGCTTACTCGAAATAGATTGGAAAGAACAGTTGCAAACGTAACTTCGTGTAAATATATAGTGGTATAACTGAAATATTTGTGAAAGAACCTTTGTGAAAGAATATAGGCTGTGTTACATAAGAGAATTGGAACCTGACAGGCTTGGCCTACTCGAAATGGAATGGAAGGAACAGTTGCTAACGTAAACAAATATCACGTTTCAGCAACCAATCAGGATCGAGATATGCACACTACGTCACTTGCAGTTATCCTAAAACTCCTGTACTCTAATTCAGGGGCACTAATGCATCCTACTGTCAGTGATCCGTGCCTGATAAAAATTAAAATGTGAAAAGTGGCAAGACTTAATCAATTCTCCTCTATATATTTAGTACTTGGTAGTAAATAGGGAAAAAAAGTTAGGTAGAAAAGTCCCAAATAAAAAAAAAAGGAAGAAATCCCTGGAAAAACAGGGATTCAATATAATTGATCACTTATTCGACTTATTTTTAAACTTAATTTAAATAAATATACAATGGTTAATTTTAAGTTAACGGAAAGGATCTTATTATTACATAATAAAGATTTTTCGCTTCTCGATGCTCCCCCTCCCCGTTATAATAAACATTTGATTCATTTAACAGCGCAAAACTTTTAGCCGCAAATTTAAGGTACTGCTTTATTAGTTTGGCAAAATTTAAGAACGCTCTAATAATTTGTCCTTAAAATTAAAAATTATACTAATGCAGATAGCAATCTTGGATAGATAATTTAGTACAACACATTTGCCAGCGTTTAAATTTTTTAATAATCACTTTTATTATTTATTTATTTATTTAAATTAATGGAAACAGATTTGGGTGGAATTGAAAATTTCTATGGGCATAAATTACACAAAAACAAATATATTTTTCAAAAATATTATTATCAGACGTACGAATATAAAACTTCTTTTCAAAAAATGATTAAATAAAATCGTAAGGTTTTGTCGGTATAATTCTGTCAGAAAAAAAAATCTATCAAAATCCTAAATATCGTGAGAGACGAATACTGCCAAAAGATATGACCAAGCCAAGTAGAAACTATTTGCAGATCAAGTTAGAAAAATTTAAATAATGGCGGTGGTAGATAAAAGAAGCATATTTCACTTTTCCCTCTCCATACCACTCCTCTTTGAACATTGCTCGTAAGGAAAAAAATCTTTTTAATTTCATTAAAGATTATCTTAATTTCATTATCGTATAGCTATTTTAAAAAGTTCTTTTTTTATATAAAATAATACTGTGGATCGTCATGAGTTTATACTTTTGAAAAATTCTTAATATGTTGAATAACATTCCGAATTTATCAAAACATTAATTTTATTTTATTTCATCATTATATTTTTTCCCCCATGAAATCAGCATTTAACTGTCCTTTTTTTTCTCATCTTAGATATAGAATTAATAATAGAATTAATAAATTCATCCCATTATAGAATTAATAAAATTTTCTGCAATTTTAAATTTGCTTAACCTTCCTGTACCCATGCTTTAAATTATTGAAGAAAAGGAGGCTTTTACTTAGAAATAAACAGCTTAAATGAATAACTCATAAATGCAATTTGAGAAAAACATGAATATTTTTGATTAATTAATTAAACATAATCAGTTTTTTTAGTTAATTTTTTTTTATCACATAAAGAAAATGGAAATTTTTATTTTTTGTGCATTTTACACATTGAATGATAATTTTTTAATGTAAATTGCCTCACTTTTTAATTATGAAACAAAAACCACAAAAATTTAAATAATATAAAATAATACGTGTCATATAATTATCCAAAAAGTCATTTGAGTGAATTTATTACCTTTCTTTTAGGTTATTTTCTTTTCCAGTGTAATTAAAACTAAACAACGAAGGTAAAACTAGTTATATTTTTAAATAGACTCGTTTTGTAAAGGCATTTTATGAAAAATTTGTATTTTCCGATTATTATTTTGTGAAAAAATTTATATATTTTTTAATTTAACATAAAATTAATGATAGTTAATTAATATTAACAAATAATTAATTAAATAAAAATTTTAAAAACTACATTTTTCAAATGATGAGAAACTATGAGTAATTTACATTTAAAATTCAGATGGAGTTTTTTTTCTTTTTTAAAGTGATACTCTTTTGCGGTTTTTATTTTAGTTTTTTTTTTAGGTGACAATAAATTGTGCAGAAAGCACCATTTATTGTCAATTGTGCTGGAGGCTCCAATAGAGATTCAAGCACTCGAAATGGTCGAAAAACTCCCGAAATTTCGATTTCAAGATTCTATTTAATTCATGTCATAAAATTGTCCGACTTTGATTTCGTTTTTAAAGAAATTATACTGAAGAATTCATTTTTACCCCCCCACACACACACACTACTATTTTGGAAGCATTTCACTCTTCTATTATTCTTTAACACAGTGTTTTTCCTTTGAATTCGAATATTTTGACTTCGAAAATTGAAATTTAAATTCAAAACTTTTCTTTTTGAAAAAAAAAATAGTGTTTACATGTAAATAAAAATTAATGATTGAATAAAAATTATAAAAAAATTTCAGAAAAGTGTTTAAATATCATAATTGCACTGGTGCTAAAAATTTAGAAAATTTGCAGATTTCGCAGACTACCTTTATTACTATTTGATAGTTTAGAATGAAATTTGGTTTGAAAATAGATTGATAGAATGTAACATAGTTAATTTAATTTATAATGTATTTGTATAACATTCATAAATGAATGTTTTTTAAATGAATGTTTTTGACGTCAATTTAATTTTTTTTCTAAGAAATAATTCTTTGTATCATTTAAAAATTAACCCTTCTCATTTAGATATTTTGTGTAGGTCAGTTTAAATTTTGCCTAAACGAGCTAATTTTTGTCATCCTATTTTTCAAAAATTATTCTATCAATGATACTCCAGAAAGTTAGTTCGTAAAAGGTAAAAAAAACTTCGTAAAACGTAAAAAAGTTTAACTAGAGATTTAAGTGAAAAGTTGATAAGCTGCTGCAGTATTATGTAACACAGTACAAGTAAAAATCAATCAAACAACAATATTAATGCTTTGAAATGCTTATTTTATGTTGATTTCAAAGATAATTCTAATGTTCCTTTTTTTCTCTGTCACTATCGACGAGACGCAATTTTTATTTTATTTTTTATAATTGTAGTCTTGAAATGTAACTGTAGATGGCGTAACTGAAAAAGGATTTAAAATTTTTTTGGCTGGGTGTTTCATGAGCATTGTTGTCATTTTTCTGCAACAAACTTGCTCATAGCAAACTAAATTTTTACTAAGTAATTTTTAAATACAATTTATAGTTTAGAGTATTATTATTGTGATCAAGTAATAATGGCTAATAATACAGAAGATAAATCTAAAAAGTATCGAGTTTTAGTACTTGGGGGTAAGTTATTTTACTATTTGTTTCAATTGTCATTAACTAGCTTTGCAACTTGTATGCATTTATTAGTTGAGAATATAGGATAATTATAACTGTTTATTGCTAATTATCTATTTATTTTCGTGATTTCTATTTCTTTTGGCTGTAATTATATAAATTTATATCTTTCTAAAGGGAAACTATTCTTGAAAGATTCTATAAATTATTAATTGTTTGAATTATCGAGATATTTTTACCGAGATTTAAATTTGTGGTTTTAGAAGATACTATAAAGATGTGCTGCTCATAAAATTACTTAAAATTTTAATGAATTGCAGAAATGCAAAATTTCCACTCTTATAAAATCATAATTGTGTGATTGTGATCTAACAAAGGATTTGAGAGAGGAATAAAATTTTAAAAAAATAACATTTATAGAGAAAAAAATACCTATATTTATTTTATTACTTTAAGCGTTTTTTTCTTCTTTTTTCTAAAAATTTTTCAAAATTAAAAAGTGGTAAGACTTAATTATGAGAATTGATATGTTATATATTTTATAACGTTTATTTTGAATTTAAAGTTTTAAATTTTGTTTGCATGTGCACCTTTATATCCTTGGTGCATTATCAGTTTAAAAAGGAAAAATACTGGAAAAGTACATTTTATGTATGCAACCAAAAAGGTTTTTTATTTTATTGAAATATTTTTAGGAATAATGCAATAATTTTTTGCAACTAATCAGAATTGAAATTCATGATATTATATATTTTGACTAATTTTCACGGTACATTCGCAACAAAATCACTATATCTAAAGAAGAAACAAAGAAACAAAAATCCAAATAGATGCATGGCAAATAAACTTGTTTTACTTCATAATAAAAAGCTTACTTTTTTCGTTGTAATGTTAAAAATATAAATGCTTAAAATGTATTATTGACAATTGACATTGCATTCTAATAACAATTGTAATGCATTTAATTTAACATATTTTTCTTTTTATGATAATTTTGTGAATGAATAGAGTTTATCTAAATGAATTATGTTTTAAATGATAGCATTTAATGCTGGATTTTGCAATGTATGTGCTTTATTTTACAATTAAAAAGAAAACAATATTTCAAATTTGAACAATTTACATCATTCATTGTTATATTTTAACTCACTTTGTGCATTTATGCTTAAGTCAGTTCATTTAATGATTAAGTTGAAGGAATCCATGCTAAAAATGATACATTTAGATTGTAATAAATTCATACAAGAAATCATTAAAGTTCAAATAATGTAGTTTATAATGTTGTTATAAATAATGTTGCTTGTTAATTTTAAAGAATTCATGCTAGAAAAGATTCTTTTGAATTTTATTTAGTATAAGTATTAATTTAAGTAGTATATTTAGTATAAGTATTATTTAGTATAAGTATAATATTTAGTATAATTACAAAGACATGGGTGCCACATGGTATGGGGGGAGGGGAAAGATCCAGGGGATTGAATTCAGTCCCCCATTTAATATATATTTCATTTTTTTTTTTTTTTTTTTTTTTTTTTTTTTTTTTTTTTTTNAAAAAAAAAAAAAAATTCTAACGAAAATTTTAAAACATTTTTCAGTTAAAATAAATTTAAAAAAAATTTTTTTTATTTTTATATTGAGTGTTATTGACTGAATTTGTGTAAATAAAATTTGTATTGTCAAATCAGAATCTGTTTGAGTTTAAATTGTTTTTCTCGATATTTTGAGATATTTAGTTTATTATTTTTTAAAAAATTATCTTGTGGAAAACATTAATGATGCAGTGAAAAATAGAGGTAGGAATGGCTCCAAGAAAAAGTCAGAAATTTAGATAATTAGTGTAAAGAGCTATACAAGGTTTAGCTGTTATTTTTTATTTGCTTGCTGTAAAAAATAAGATAATGAAATAAAGCGAAGAAGTAACTTAGAAAAAGTAATCAAGTCATTGATATAATAAATGCGCCATTCTCATGGTAAGTGAGCTATAATTTTCTGAAATATTCTGTTTAATAACAGACCGTGTTAATTGGTGAAAAAATAAGTTCAGTCTTGAAATTTTTTAAAGTGGCACCCATGCAAAGAATGGAATCTTAGCAGGTTACATTTAAACTGTATTTAGTACACACAATCATTTGGTAAAGATTGAACAATATTATGTATTTATGCTTCATTACATTAACTAATATAATCAATTTTAAAAAAAGCATAGGAAAGACTGAGAAAGAGAGTGATAACTGAAATTGAAAAAGAGGAAATAAAAAATGAATGCCTAAAAATGAAAAAAAAATTGAAAATGAAAGCATAAGTCTGCATGCTTAGGTAGTTGAATTGTTTGGGAGGCCAGGGATCTACATGCTTGTAAGGATGGATTTAAATTGATATATGAATAACATTCATTAAATGTTAATCAGTTCCGTATATTTATTTAATTTTATCAATTCATTTTAAGGAATGCATACTTTACAGGAATTTAGTACACACAAGCATTAATTAAAGATTGTAATAAAGACAATAAAGAGCACTTATGCTTTATTCAATCAATAATTAGTTTTAAAGAATACATGCTAGAAAAGATACATTGTATTTAGTACAACCATTAATTAAAGGTCAAATTGTATGCTTAATTTAACCACATTAAATAATTAATTTTAAATAATCCTTGATAAGAAGGATTGGTTACTTTATCTAAGCAACATTCGTTAAATGTCAAAAAACATTGTGCATTTATTAAATTCAATTAAATTATTCAATTCACATTTACAAGAATGCACATTGAAAAGGATTCAATTATATTTTATTTACGTAAGTAGTAATTGAAAATTCAATACATTGCTCATTAAACTGAATTTTAAGTTCATTTTCCCTAAGCATACATTTTTATGCCTTATTTGTAAACTTAAACCTATTTTTTTCTCTTTACTTTTCATTTTAATTGTAAAGCTACAATGCTCAAGGTAAATTTCATCTTAAACTGTTGGTTGCTTAGTAACGATGGAGATAGTAATGTTTATGGCGTAGATATGACCTAGCTTCTATTAAAAACCAAAAAAATTTTAAAATATTTAAGTTTTATTTCAAAATTCTTGAAAGATAATTATCATAAGATTACGTTTAAAAATTTACCTCAATAAATTGTGAAATAAAATTACGTATGTTTGTCATTTACCTTCTAAAAAGTTATTTAATTACAATTCACACCAGTAAAAATGCAAATATTTAAATAAAAGTGAGCAACTATGGTTACTTTAGTAAATAGGGTTGTACTAGATGTAGTGGATTCGAATCCACCCTGATTATCTGATCTATTTTATCTAATTTGTGCTATTTATTTGTATGTAAATAAATTAATGTAATAATATGCTCATAATAGAGGTGATATTTAATTCGTTTTAAAGCGGTTTCATTATATTGAATTACAGAAAACTTTTTTACTATTTTCATGTTTGTGAGGGTAGACTTGCAATCGAAATTCCGACTTGTTAGAGCTCTCAATTATTTGCCTACTATAAAATATTAAGAAGAAAAGGAAAAAAAAAAAACTCTATTTTTTAAGTAGCTTAAAGGAGGAAATAATTTTTATTTTTGTCAGACCTGAAACGTTAAACTCATCACTTTTATAATAAGTCCTAACATCACTGAAAAGTTTCAACAAAACTTTCCCTTTTTAATGTGCCTAACGTTTTAGGCCTGCCAAAACAAAAAAAATTTCCACTACAAAAACGAAATACCCTAAAAACGAACTTAGAACAACTGTACAAGATAATATTATTTTTTTTTTAATCTATTAATTTATTTTAATTAAATATTGAAAAAAATTGGGTAAAGAAGAAGCTGATTTTGGTTCTCGATAAACTGGCGGTTTAACTCTGATGTAAAGAGTCTTAACTTTTATAAATATTGGGAGGAATATTTCAATTGTCTTCTGGCGCGTTGCGACTCCTCTTGATTAACAGCTGTTTTATGAAGCCGCTGTCAGAAACGTGTTTATGCCCCACAGCTCATCACGTGATTCATTCATTTGTCTGTGTACAGGAAACTCGGCATTGGTCTTACTTTGATGGAAAAAAATTATCTTTTTACTGTGTCTGAAGTAGTCAAAATACAATTATAAAAAATACATTGTTTAGAGAAACGCATTTATATATTGGTATTTGGTGATGCTGTCATTTCCAAAATGTTCTAAAAAATTGCAAGCGTTTTTTATAATATATTTTTTGATACTGTTAAGATTTTTATTTTTTTATGTACATTGAAAATTACGTTTAGAAAGATTTATTTCAGGAGCTGCAACCTCCGAAATGGACAAACTTTTGCAAGCTTTTTCTAAATATTTTCTTTACTATTGGGTCATTATTATTATTTTACACAAAGTGATAAAATACATTTGAAAGAAAAACGCATTTTTGTATTTGCATTCTGTGATGCCATAGTTTCCGAAATGTTTTGGAAAAATAGGATAAAATGGCGAGAGTTTTTTTTTTAATATTCTTCGTTATTTTTAAGATTTTTTTGTACTTTGAAAATTACATTGGGAAGAAAAACGTATTTCAGGAGCTGTAACCTCCAAAATAGGCTAACTTTTACAAGCGGTTTTTTTTTCCTAATTGAAAAACGTACTGTAAGGAAAACGCATTTCAGATGCTGTAATTTCCGAAGTATACTGACTTTTGCAAGCGTTTTTTGTCATTATTAGGCTTTCATTTTGTATATTTCTTTATTTATGCGCTATAGTTTTAAAGGCATAGTATAATTGTTTTGCGTTGCTATGGCAGTGCTTGATATAGCCAATTAGTTAATGATTTAGCGAATGGATAAATCAGATTATTGGCGTGTTAGTAGAATGCGAATGAGTAAATAAGCTTATTTATAGGTTAATTTTTGTTTTTTATTTAACTTAACATTTGTGGTATATTAGTCGGCAACATTTTAATTTAATTTATTTATTTTTTAACGTTAACAGGTATTGAATCTTGCACTTATCTGAATTATCGTGTTTGTAGCAGGAAAAAAGATTATTCTGACATCCGCATTTTACGGATGTCAGACCCCGTCTAAAAACTTCCTTCGTGACGTCATGTAGCTCTTTGCTATTCTTATAATGGTGCATGAAATATATATTACATAAAATCGTAATGTATTGCGCAAAAAGTTAAATAAAGAGCACTTAAATAACTTTAGCTCTAATACTCGGATTTTCCCCTTACTTACACACACTGAATCAATCTTAATGATGCGACTAACTTTATACAAATAATTATTTTTGACTTTGTTATTAAAATTTAAAACGAATGTTTTTTTTTTTTAATCATTTCATGTTTGTGTTGATTTGTTCCATATTATAGCGTTGTATAAGACGTGAACATGCGACATTTCTTTAGCGAGCAAAATTCATTCTTTTTATAACCTCGCAAGATATCATTGCAAAAGCGAGTTCTAAATATCGCCATTAGAGCTTACTGTTTGCTTTGTAAATAATGCTGAGCGATATTGGAATTTCAATATCGCTATATAAGATCGTGAACTATCGATATCTTACGATGTGTGATCCGCTATGGTTCAGGGAATGGAGTGTTCGCCTACCAATAAGGTGAATCGGGTTCGAATCCCAGCGAAGGCTGGTTGATACGAATCCGCATCCGGCTCGCACCGACCACAATGCTGACGTGAAATATCCTCAGTGGTAGTCGGATCATGAGTTAGAGTCCCCTTACAGGCAGGCTAACCATGGTAGGTTTTCGTGGTTTTCCTCTCTATGTAACGCAAATTCGGGTTAGTTCCATAAAAAAGTTCTCCACGAAGGCAATTTTCTCCCAATACTTGATCCAGAAGTTCCATTGTCATCTGGATTGGGTTCAAAATTACAAGACTGCGGAGTTAAATATTAATAGTCGTAAACCCAAAAATTGGGTCGGCTGTTCAACGACGGTTATAAAATATAAAATATTGCGATGCATCGCATTATTTTTTTCAATTCCGAGTAATTTATCATTTTGCTAAGTGCAATGCTCTCATTAGCCTAAAGACTCAACCCTCATGATAATATGTTCTATAATTATCGTCATCAATAATATTCTCATTATTATATTCGATATTGATCGTTGTCGATACTGATCGAGATATTATCAAATTCATAATAACCGGTTGTACTCTCGACATATAACGTTTTCGATATTCATGGTTGCTGATATATATCACGATATTATCGCTGTCGATAATTGTTTTAAATTCAATATTTTTAGTGAGTGAGAGAGTATTCACGATTCTTGCCATTGCATTGACTTTGCAAGGATGATTTTTTAAATTTTGTTACCCTAATATTTAAAATATATCAATATCTCACGATACATCGTCCAACTATAATAGCTGTAAGACATCCCCATTTCAATTTAAATGTAATTAACGAATCGCGATTGTTTCATATTAATTATTTGGCGATATTCTGTTTATTGAAATAGTTTTAATAACAATGAATAAAAAAAAAACCTTGGAGGGAATATCGGCTTTAAAGCGAATAATTTTGCAAATACTTACTTTTACATCCGTAATTCTAATTTGTTGTCTAAAACAGCCTAGCCTATAAGCCTAGTTTTTTTATATTACATGAAATTATTTTTAAGCTTTATAGGTTATTTAAAGAATGTTTTTAATTACCAGTCATTAATTTGGACAAAGTTGATTGACATTTCTCTTTTTTTTGTGTACCCATTGCATAACGTATGGAAAAGCCTGTTTGTTTTGTAGAATAGCACCCAGGAATAACTGTCAAAACACTAAGAAAAGCTGGTACAAACTTCAGGATGATTATCAAATTATTCATCATAAAATTATTCTTTAAAAATTAGCTAAGCATTTATATGGAGATGTAACCAATTTTTTTGACATTATAAATAATTGCATTTTTTATTAAATTAAATATTGCTTTTTTTATACATACTTTCAGGTTGTGGTTTTATTGGAAGAAATTTAGTAGACTATGTAGTAACTAATAATTTAGCGTCAAAGGTAAGACAAATACTATTTTATATGGTATTCAAATTATTTTTTTTTTTTTAGTTTCTAAATTTTTATTAATGCATTTTAAAGTATGTATTCAACTTCTTAACTCCTGAAATTATAGTTATGTTATGCTTTCTATGTATAGTAAAGTGGCTATGCTCTTTCAGATCCATTTACAGTGCCAGCTGGTGGGAAACTGTAGATTTAGCATTTTTATCCAAAAAAAGAAAAAAAACATTCAATATAAAGAAAAATGGTGAACAGCAAAGTTGTTGAGCTTCAGCATCATCAATTTAGGGTGAATAAAGATCGTTTAGGCAACAACGCTAAGAAATTAATCTTAGAATTTGAATTGCTTGTTACTGATTTCTTACACTTTAACTTAAGCAATATCTTAAAAAGGAGGGGAAAAACTTGTCATTCCAAAATACTTTTAATTTAGATTTACTAAGCTTTAGGAAAATTTTTTAATTTAACAGTGAAAAAAAGTATGTATTGTATTTTTATATTTTTTTTTTATTAAAGGGTTTCATAATGTCACAGATATGCTTTTCAAGCATTGTCTAGAATGTGTCTATGTCTATACATTGATGATTCTTTACATCTAAGTTCACTTTTCTTTCTATCTTGCATCGTTTTTAAGATCGAAACGTTAACTACTCAATTTCCACCAGGTGATGCTGAAATTAGCCTGCTTTTGTTTATAGCCCTCTTACTATACCTAGATACCAATTTTATTTCTATAGCTGAAGCTATTTGAAAGTTGCGAATATAGATACAGGCTATAAGATACATTGCCTAATTGATACTCAATAAAGCAGTTATAGTTTTAAAATGTTATTTAAAGTATTGTAAGTTTTTTAATTCAATGAATAGACAACAACTGATGGGTAGAGCCTGTTGAATGTTTTGTTTTCTCTGTAAATATTTTCCTCAAGTTTTTGTTGATATTTGAAGAAAGGAAAGAGGTTCAACTGGTTCTGTTACTAAAGAGTTCTATAGTTTGTCTGCGGTAAGAACTCCCCCCGCCCCAAAGTCTGAGGCCATCTGCTGCTATGGAAACAAGAATAGCTCATTTCAGGGAGGGTAGCTTCTCTTTACCTAGGCCAAGGCAGTAAATCCTACTTGAAATAGTTATACCTCGTCACCGCCCTGGGTTCAGATGAATGGTTAGGGGAGTTCTTACTTTAGACAAACTATACTTGATCCCTTGCATGAAAAGGACAAGAAGCACGCATCACTAGTGATGCTAGTTTTAATTTAGAATAAAGTCAGCAGCAAATATTTACATTTTTAACTCTAAGCTTGGTTAACAGTTAATGTGTCTGTGAAATCAAATGAAAAAATGAATAGTTGAAAATTCAAATAAATCGAAATAAAACATGAACTTGCTTTTTCAAGTGATGAATTTTGAGAAAAAATTTTGTATTTTCAAAGTTGTTAAAGTTAATTTTATTTTTAAGTACAGAAATATGTGTATTGTGTTTAAAATAAACAAGTGTTTAAAATAACTAAATAAACAAAATTTTTAACTATTTAAAACTTTGGAACCCATGGACCGCGGAACACAAGAAAGCAGTGTGGTATAGTGCTGCTCAAAAGTCTGAACCATACACCAAGCAAAGAAAAATATTTTTTAATGCCTTGTACAGTATGTTTTACTGACATATGTGCACATTATGTATAATATAGCAGGTAGTGGGCCTCAAAATTAATTTGGTGGTCCGTTCAACTAAAATGGTTTGAAACTACTGCTTTAAAATATACCTTTAAATTATTTTTTACATTGCTATTATAAAAAAAAGTAACATAAGTTTTAAAGCTTTTGAATATCAATAATTTTAATTTTGTCAAACCATAACATCTGCTATTAGAACAATTTTGTCTGAATATTAAACTATTATTCTGTACTGTAATTACTTCTCTAATTCATCATTCTTGTTATTCTCAATGAAAAGATTATGAGAACCTTTTTTTTTTCTTATTTAAAAGCATTTTGAAAAAGCTTTGTTTATTTTAGGTTAGAGTTGTTGATAAAGTGCCTCCACAGACAGCTTGGCTAAACAAGCACCATCAGGTGAGGATATTAGGTACTTAACATTTGACTTTAAATATTCTCATAAACATAGCATTTTTTTTTTATAAAGCCTGTGAACTATTATAAAATATTGACTGTTTAGATTATTATGCTGTTGTATGGTTTACCTTCTCCATGTAAATATGGGTTCCACCTCAGCCATTATTTTCTCTCTTTCTTTTGAGTCAGACTTAGTTTACAGCACTGTATGATTTCTTCAGCCACTGTATCTAGTTTTATCTCAGAATATCCAATGCTAATTTTTGTACAAACTTTGCTTTAAATATCTTGCCAATTAAATTTTTTTTGTTGTAACCCTAACTATTAGGAAACTTTTATATTCTAATGAGAAATTTTCATTTATTGTTTAGCATAATTGTGACTAGGTCTTACAGAAATGCAGTCAAGTATTCTGCTTTTAAGTTTCGTTCATAATAGGGCATTCGCCTTTATGTTTGATAATAGATTTTGTCTGTGTTAATAATTATTTAATTATTTTTTTATATTTAAAAATAACTGGGATTAATGATCCATTATTAATCATATTCATTTTTTTTTATCATTTTAATTGTTCATAGTTTAAATTTTTTGCTCTTGTTAGGGCATATTGGTATGAATTATACATAAGTATCTATAAAAGCAACATTTCAACTGATACTGACAAGTACAGACTTTTAATGTATTCATTATAGTTGTGAAAGTATAATAAAGCTACTAACAGAGATGACCTTCAAATTGTCTTTTCATTAAAAGTTGTAATTAAATATCAAAGTACTGATGATTAATAAAAATAACAAAACTGTTTAAATACTACCCTTATCAAAAAAGATATACATGAAAAAATGAGCATGTTAAATTATAAATATATAATTTTGAGAAATTTCTACCCTAATTTGTTGAAACTCCGAATCTATCATTTTCAAATTGTTAATTATCTATCAAATTTGAATAACAGCCTATGGAATAATTTATTTCTCATATCTTAAGTTTAAGAATTCTCGTATTAAAGAATGCATCATTATAAATTTTTTTCATGCGATAATTCAATTTTATTGTCTTTTTCAGATGATTTTTGATAATCCTATTGTTGAATTCAAAAGTGCTAATTTAATTAATCCAGGTATTTCTTTTTTATTATCATTTCTGTATTTTTATTTTTGATCACTTTTGACATTGAAAAAGTTATTATGTTTTGGTATGTAATTTTCATTTTATTTATTTCTCTAGATATCATTTTTAATTCACAAAGATAAAATTAAAGAACATTAGTCCATGTCTGACCATTTACATGTTTCTTACTTTTTTTAGTATTCTTTATTTATAAAATTATAATAACATTGAATTATTCCTAATCTTTCTTTAACTAATTAAAACAGTTAATTTTATTTATTTTTATAAATTGGAGATATAATTTTTTTTAAATTTATTTTTTTTCTTAATAAATGTAGCCTTTAATTTTTATTCTATTTAATCATGTACTAAATTCAAAGTTATTCCGCTAAGTAACAAAATCTGTTTTTTTTAGTATCATTCAGACCTTTCTCTCTGTTTTTGCTTAACTTTATGGGTTTGTGTTGTGTGTGTTCCTCACACTCTAGTTAGTAACTGATAAAAAAGAAATAATAATCTATTTTTAATTTACTGTTCTTAAAGTTCCACTCATTGTAGCTTATAAATGTTTATATGGAAGTTTTTTTTTCTAAATCATAAGGATCTTTTTGTTGTTTAAGTGTTATGCCATATAAATAAATTTAGAGAACACAGAATTTGCTTTCCTTTTGGTAGTGTTCTTTTTCGATAAATTGTCTCTCTATGATCCAAAGAAGTCAGCTTATATTGACTTAACAGTCCAATATACTGTGCATACATAGCCCATTTAATTTGCTGTGGAACCAAATTTTTTGTATTTGATCTGCTTATAAACTTGCCAGTGCCAAAGGTCCAATGAGATAAAACAATTTTTTATATTCAGTAAGCTAAAATATTTATGTTTCTAATTTAAGGGGTTCTAATTATAATTTTTTACTGAAAAAAGTACAGTAAACTCCTGATTATTCAAGGGCAAATCATCCCTGCTTCACTTTTTTTTCTTCAGTGTTAAAAATATTTTTAATAAAAGTAAATTTATTTATTTTATTACAGTTTTACTATTTATATATTTGATATTTTATTAAAACTTTCCTTCCTTCCTCAATGGCACGACAGCCCCGGGTGGGCCCTGGCCTTCTCAATCAACTTCCTCCAGGCCTGTCNCACACACAAACCACACCACCACGATAAGGTGGGAACACCGACGGGCGGTTATTAAAACTTTATTTTCAAAAAATATACGTACACATGTTTTTTTTTTATTATTTTTTTTTTAATTTTATTTATTTATTTATTTTTTAAATTTAACTCTGTGGCACTTTTATACATGAACAATCTATATACTGTTTTCTGTATTTTGACATTAGAAAAACTTTTGCTCTGAGTGGAATATTGCAAATAAAAATTTTTTTTATAAAGAGTAAAATTGTTTTTTTTTTATTATAGTTTATAGTTTTACTTTTTCACTGCATACTTAAAACTTTTTTAAAGGAGATTTATTTATAATGCTTAATTTTTTTTCTTCAGTATCTTGTCAAAACGCCTTTGCAGATGATGAAGGACCTTATGACTTTGTTGTGAATCTTGCAGCAGAAACTAAAATGGGACAGACAGATGCTGTAATTAAATATTTTGTATTATTTTTATTTAGTTCATTATTAGATACTAATAACTTTTAGTTTTATGTCTTTTGCTTCTGTCTCTTTTTAATGTATTTTTTCTTGTTAGATTAAATTTTTTAAACCGTTATCAAAGCTTAAAATTAACAGTGGTCCATTTATCTGAGACCCCTAAAATTAGAATCAGACCACCATGAAATAATAATTGTGGTCCCTCAGACCAGAGAAATCATTTGTAAATTGAGTGTAAAGGGATGGTACACCGATTTTAGTTTTCTGTATTTCGGTTTGTTGTTTTGGTCTGTTTTTCTATTACGATATCTTAAGTCTGTTTCTTCATAATTTTTAATTGTGTGCATAATCTGTAATTTTTCTTCTAATTTAATATTTAATGATCTTTTTTTTTACTTTTAATATTTAATTCAATATTTGGTACTTATAGTAAATATGTTATGTTAAACATCTTTATAGAAACAGAGTGGTAAAAACTGAGTTTATATAAATGTTAGTTTTTATTTTATAATTACTTAAAAAAAATGAAGTATTGAATTAGTTAAACTTATTATTATTTTTGCTTCAAAACTTTAAATTTATTTAGAGCATATAAATAAAACCAACAAAATTGTTACAAGTGAAATTTTTTAGTTACAAGTCTTTCAGACAAGTGACTAATATTTCTTAATTTCTGATTATTGTTACTTTGTAAGATCATTATTGGTAAACTTTTTAATTTTCATATAGGTTTATAGAGAAGGAATTGTTAAGCTTAGTGTTAATTGTGCCAAAGAAGCTGTTAAACACAATGTAAAAAGGTTTATTGAAATCTCTTCAAGTCATGTTCACTCAAGTGAAAAGGTAAATATTTATATTTGTCTCTTAAAACTACTCAAGTATGAATCATCAGATTTATTTATTTGTAAATTAATAATTATTGATTTTTTGTATTTTATCTTATTGTTACCTTCCTGTATTGTAAGTCATTAAATACATAAATTGCATTGTTATAAATTTTCATTTAAATCTATAATATATTTCTTGGATATGTTATGTCTAAACTTTTATAAAACACAAAACACATTTTTAAAATCTAATTAAAAATCTGGACTAAGTATCTTTGAATCAGCTTGAAATTTTAATTAGTAACTGTATCTTGTCTGCTTGTTATGTATTTTTTATTTTATTTCCATTTTAAAATATGTAATAATGAGCTGCTATTTTATACTTAACTGTGTAATGTAGAATGGATTTTTTTAACTGGTTTTTTCTATAGAGAATTTTAGTAATGCTCGCAAATTTTGAAAATATAACTAAAAAAAATTTCCAATTATTTTTATTATCAAAAAAAAAAGATTTTTTATAGTAATTGTTTACAAATAAAAAAAATAATAAAACAAACCCTTCTCAAAAATGAGTTCTAAAATATGACCCATTACAAAATTGATATCTTCTGTAGGACTCTTTATAAAATGGATCTCTAAAATAAGGACCCTTTACAAAATTTATTGCTAAAATAGGATCCTTTTCAAAATTGTTTTCCAAGATCGGACACTTCATAAATTTCAGAACTACTTAAACTAACCTTTAACAAAGTTCTATACTCCTTTCATTTATTTATTTGTATTTAAAAGTATCTATATTCTTTAAAGTATTTGTAGTTTTTCATTATATATTGTTTTTAATGTAAACAAGAATTTAACGTAAGCAAGAATTTAGTTTTTACAAAATAAGTATGTATAAGACTCTGCATTGTTTTTCACAAAATTGCAAACACAGGAAGGTAGGATAATGAATGATCACCTGTTATAGAACTGAGAACTGTATAAGTACAGATATAATACAAAAATTATGAAGTTTTTTTAATTTCATAAACTTAATGCAATAATGATTGTACTTATTAAGGATACTAATTTTTAGGCTGGATCAGTTCTTCTTTTGGAGAGCAAGAATAGTTGGTTTTCGACACATATTAGTCATTTTTAAAGGTCTAAGCCTGAGGTCTAAGAATTTAAAAGTCTAAGAATTGAATCTTGATTACAAGCATTACTTGCAATTATAATTAATTATAAATAATTCTTACTTATTGTTATATAAAGTAACATTGTAATCCTGATCTGGGTGTGATCAATATATTTTTCTACTATTGTAATTTATATTTTCAATTATAGTATTTATTAGTACTTATGATCATAATTACTTTCTATCATAGATTGCGACTTGCAACTCTTAGTTGTCCTGGTTACTGATGAACATAATTACTAGTAATTATTAATTTTTTAGAATCAAAAACACAGTAAAAAATGTTATGGAAATTCTGATTATTTGTAAATAATATTTTTCCTAATCTGAAATTGAGATCTGCATAATTTTTTTTAGATAAGGTTGCTAATTGACCTTTAGTGACTTAAATTTTTTTCTTTTTATTCTATAAATAGTTAGCTTTTTAAAAAAATTAGCAATTTTGCAACTTTCTTTCACTTTTTTTTCTTCTTCCTCAGCACTAGAGCCTGTTACTAGTCAAGGCTGTCACAAAATCTAGATGCAGTGATCTTTGAGCCTGTTACTATGATGATAATTAAAAAATTTTCAACTTATCTATGCATATGATACAAGATCTCTTCCTCTTTCATTCTATTATTTTTTATCATTATTTATCTAAATTAAAGGCTCTCTATCAGTAAAATATGTCCAAGACGTACATATTTGAGATCAGAAGTATAGGTCTCACTAGTTGATTTTAGATTTATAGTTGTAATTATTTAAGTTTTTATATTTAAAATTTTTTGTTAATAAATGACCAGGAAAAGTAACTATATTGAACAAAGGGAAAGCTTGAGACTAAAAACTACTTTAACTCCTTCAGCCCTTTCATCCTAGTATTGGAAAACATCTTTATGTTACTCTATAATCCTCATTTTTAAGACTTTTAACAGCAAAATCTAGTGTTTTACTAACAATACATCCAAAAATAGGCACACACTATAAAAAATTTTCAGTATATAGTAGCACATCCGTAGCAGAGAAAATGATGAAAGCTTCTAGACATTTGAAGGCAAAACTATATATTATTATTTTTCAAAATATTATTATGTGTAATTTCATTTCTTGTATCTTAAAAATAAACCCTACTACAAATTAGGACTTTATGCCCAATTCAGCACTTTTGTGTGCTAAAATAATTAGAAATTGAATTTCACATGGAAATTTAAGATATGTTTACTAATAGGACATACGGCTAAGAGCAAACAAGGTTACTTCTTACACTTGTTCTATTGCTTTAGAATAGATTAATAAGGTTTCTAAAAGTATCATGTTATATGCATAATTTGGAAATTTTATGACTTCCATTGAATAATTACCTGAATATTTTTTTCTGTGTATTCCAAGTTACAACATTAAAATTCATTTTTATTTCTTTATATGTCATATGCTAAATAAAAAAGTTGTAAGATATTGCAAAGTCGTAAGATATGATTCATATGATTGAAAGAAGTCCAAAGTTACAGAGATGCAAATTGGAAGATTGCACATACAAAACAACTTCATTTTTTGAAATATGTGGAAAAAAAAATTTATGCTTTCATGCACAAAGAAATTGTTTCAAAGTATTTCATGCAAAATAATCCTAAGCAGTGCTTAAAATAATTTTGCTTAGTCATAGCCTGGTGACCTACTATTAGAGTGTTTTTAATTAGTTCAGTGATTAGCAGAATGTTATAATGTAGATAGTTATATGCAGAGCAGTGTATCGAACAAGTCATTTATATTTAATCTGACCTATTCATAACTCAGCCGAAAGAGTTTAAGCTCTAGTTATTTTAATAAGCGTGTGTTTTATTTGCTATGGTGTTCTTATACATTATAATAAGGGTCTCTCTTCTTACCTCTTACATGATCTGTTCTTACTATGCATTACTGTCTAAGTTTGTAGTAATTTCAATCATCAGTCTTTCTGTCTTACTTACCTTTTTATTCCAGACCCCTATTAAAGAATCAGCAAAACCAGATCCATGGACTGTAATGACCAAGTTTAAACTTCAAGTAGAAGAAGAACTTTCTTCTATCCCAGATCTAGACTATGTAGTACTAAGGCCTGCTACTGTATATGGTATCGGAGACAAAACTGGACTAGGTGGGTATTATTTAAAGGCAATTCCTTTCATTATGAAATGCACATTTTGATTTTTTAATGAAATTATCAAACTTTGTGACACTATTTTTATGGAAAATAAATAAATCTCTTTTCATCATTCCACATTACTGTTATTGATGCAATGATATAAAATCAAAGGTGCTTATTATTAAAAATTTTAGTTCTACTTTCTTAGTAGTTTTAACCCTAGCATTATTTTTATAATGTAACTCCCACAAATGTAGGTGGCCTAGTGATAATTCCTCTTTTACTTTATTTATTTTGCATCATTTTTAGCTTATAACACTATTTCATCTTGTTAATTTGATAACATAATGTTATTTTTTGTTGCAGTATAACCTTTATCAATTTTTGTTCCAGTATACTCTAAAAGTTGCTAGATTTTTTTTTAAAGTATCTTTTTCCATTAAGCTTTTATCTTTTCAGATTTTAACTTGAGGATATTGCAAAATTTTTAAATTACTATTATACAAAATTTTTAATTACTTTTTTATCACCCCCTTCATCCTTTAAAAAAAAAATTCTAATTTTAAAAAATAAAATTTGTTATAATATGCTGGCAATTTAAATATGTTTTTGAATAATACAGTCGAGAACCGATTATCCGGAACGATCGGGACCATCGCGATTCCGGATAACTGATTTTTCCGGTTTTCTGAATCGTTACAAAATGCCGTTTTTTTAATGTTTATAAAACGAAACTGAAAAATAATTTTGAAATAGTTTGAGAAATAATAAAAAATGATAAATAATAATACACTTGAGTTTAAATAAGGAAAGAAATTATGAAATAAAAATTATATGCAGGCTTATATATGTTATTACTGTTATTATTAACATTAATAACATATATAAGCTATTTGTGCTTATGTGAGATTCGTCTACAAACAGCTTTTGATCTGTCCTCTAAATCTTCTTTCGTCAACTCGATACGCCGTATGCTCTAAATAACAAAATGGGCTCAAAATCTTGCAAGAAAAAAAAAATTTTTTTAATGGAAGAAAATTAATTTCCGGTTCCGAATTTCATTCTGGTTATCTGGTTTTCCGGTTTTATGATTTACGGATAAGAGGTTCTGTACTGTATATCCAAAAAAATGAAGTTTGTTAACTCATTTAAAATAATCAGGTATTTTTAAAGCACTTTTACTGTTTCTTTGTTTTGCTGTTTAAGTTTTGAAATCGCTACCCTTTATATTCAAATTATTAAAATTGTAATTTTACTTTATTTAATGTATTTTATGTTTTAACTCTCTTTTCCCCCCTCTCTTATTTTCTTTTTAGTACCTAGATTAGTTGTTGGTGCTGTTTACAAACACATTGGAGAAATGATGAAGGTAATTGATCCAAACATCTAAGCATTATGTTATTTAATAAATTATTTTGTACCTTATTACTGTTTTTATGTCATGAGATAGGATCTAGCTTTAGAAATTTGTTATATAAAGAATTTAATATTATGTATGGAAATTATTCTTGCTCACATAATATAGTAATGGCTTAGAGTAATATATTATGTTAAGTCATAACTTGATTAAAAACTTCATTCACTCCAAAGCGAATGAAGTTGTTAATCTAGTAATGACTTACTGCTTCAATATTTAGTATGTAAGTCAGTTTTAGTCAATATGTAAGCTACCTCACAGTTAAAGAAGTATAAAATTTTAATAAATTATTTTCACCGATCTTATTACTGTTTTTATGCCACTGAGTGAGGATCAAACTTTAGAAATTTATTTTATTGAGAATTAAATAGTATACATGGAAGTTACTCTTGCTCACATAACATTATAATGGCTTAGTATAATGACTAGTCAATATAATCAAGTAATGACTTATATGTTATATAAGTCATTACTTGATCAAAAACTTCATTCAACTTCAATCTAGTAATGACTTTCTGCTTCAATATCTTGGGATTTTTTATTTAGTATGTAAGTCAGTTTCAGTCAATATGTAAGCTACCTCATAGTTAAAGAATTATACAATTTTCCTCTTAATTTACATTTTCATTAACATGTTATAAAAAAAGTTATACATACAAAATTAGCTGAAGCATGCTATTATTAGTGAATTGTTTGGGACTTAATTGTTAAAAATTATTAAACATATAACAATACATAAAAATATAAGTAAAAAACTACATTTATTTTACATTTAACTCCCCCACCAGAATTTTATCAGTGACATAATTCGATGAATGGATATCACTAGTTTATTCACTGCTGTTTTGCGAGATGCCAGGAGAGCTGTATTAAGATCACCGGGCTTCGAGTGCTGGTTGTGGGAGCTGTATTCAGTTCACGGTCGGTGGCTCTCTTGTGTTGCCATTAGTAATCGAGTGTATATTGTACGTAATCGAGATTGAGTTGCAACAGTGGTAAGAATGGGATAATGTTGCTGTCACAAGTAGCAAGTCAACTATTGAATGTGGACTATAGGAGTGTTCAAATCAAAGTGGGAGTTTCTGTTTAGGTAGACGTTTTCACATCACATCCGGGTCACCAATGTGGGGGAGGATTCTTGACAATGTCAACTGTCATATATGAAAAGGTACCTCAACATAGTATTAGGTTACCATGTCTTACGTACTAGTGAATTAGAATTGTATTTTTGTAGTGGTAGACATGCTACATGTTTGTCAAATGAAAAAAAAATTGTAACTGAATAGTTATCAGTGAGTTGCTAATTTTATTTGGAAATTTTCAGCTTCTGTGGAATAAGGATGTAAAAATGCACACTGTTCATGTCTCAGATGTTTGTAGAGCTATTTGGCATGCATGTTTGCATGGAAAACCTGGAGAAATCTATCATTTAGTTGATAAAAGTGGTACAAGTGAGTAATGCTGATTACTCTATATCTTTTATGAAATGGTTTTCTTATAACTTATTACTAGATCTATGTACTTGATAATTAAAGTGTTTGTCCCCTACACTGACTATTATTATACAGTGAATTCGCGATAACTCGAATCTGATAGGAGTGACGAAAAACTTCGACATATCGGAAGTTCGACTTACCGTTAGTTTCGGTTTTGGACTTTCAAAATATTGTCGGATTATTTAATTAATGCTTATTAATTTCAAATCTTCTAATTACTTACCATATTTAAGATCATTTTTCTGACAAGCCATTTACGATAAGACTGTTTGAAGCACTTTATGATACCCTTGTCCATCGACTGCAACTTTGCTGTTGTGTTTGGTGGGAGAAACTGCAAGTTTACTACTTTCAAATTAGGTAGATCACTATGTGCTGTGCATTTATCCATAAAGAGTATCACTTTTCTTTTTTTAGCGAAGAATTTCCGATCCAATTTTCTTACATAGTCTTCAAATAAAACTGATGTCTTCCAAAACTTTTTTTTAGACTTGTAATCCAAAGGATACATTTTTACATTCTTGAAACATCGGGGATTTCGGGTTTTTCCAATAACAAGTAAGGGTAATTTCTCTGTCCCAGGCGCATTTCCTCCAACTAGGACAGTCAAACGTTCCTCGCTCATTTTACCCCCTGAGCAGTTTTCATCCTTAAACATCATAGTCTTATTTGGAAGACATTTAAAAAATAAACCCATTTCATCAATATTGAAAACATCATTTTAACTGTATCCTTGAAGTAAATTTGGTAACGTTTCATTTAACCACTGTTCACATACTTCAAGAGGGACAGCTTTAGCTTCTCCATGAAGAGTGCGAAAGACATTGTGTGTGTGTTGCAAAGGAAGGGGCAAGATATCAGCTCCTAGGTTTTTTTTCTTGCTTTAAAAGATCCAAAAAAAATCGAGTTAAAGGGAGTAAAATTCGAGTAATCGAGAATAATTAACATGTAATTGAAGATAAGAGAGTCGGGACCTCATAAAAAAATCGAGTTATAGTAATATTCGAGTTATCGTACTTCGAGTTATGGCGAATTGACTGTATTTAAGTTTTTTCCGCAACCTAAAAAATTCTTAATATTATTACAAAATAAATGTTAATTCTGAACTACAGACACTGGTACACCGAATTAGACAGATTAGCGTTTAAAGAAACGCACGATGGAGGGAGACTTAAAATCGACATATTTTTCAAATATTATGACTTACAAGATGTCTATTAAAAAAATTTGTATTCTTTGCTTGTTTTTAGATTCAATTTCAACAATATCCCTCTCAATACTTATTCTTTCTTTTTGGTTGCATTTGCAAATATATATTGTTTCAGAGTTTTTATACTTTTGAACTCTTGATCAGTTGTGGATATATCCTCCAATATTATTTCCTCATTTTCATCAGTGTCATTGGAAGTAAGCATTAAATCAGTTATCGAAAAGAAAGGAGAATATGTGTTGTAGTCGATATACTCGTCATCAAATTCAAAGGAACTTGAACCGTGCAATTTTATTCTGAAGAGTCTATGTTTCCGTTGGATATCGAGAAGACAGTTTTATTAAAACCATTTGAAATGTATTTTAGTCTAATGCTGTAGAAGTCTAATTCGGAGCTTCCAGCACACTTATTTTTGCTTTTGAAGCATCTTGCCAGGCACTGGAATCAAGAAAAAGAAAAGATGACCTAACCAGTTATTTAGTGTGACATTCTTTCAAAGATTGGATTATTCTGAAATTTAAAGATTGAAGTTAGCTTAAAAAAATTCCACTTGCAAATTTTGCATGTTAAGCTCCCATATTTCTTTTAGCTACCCTTCCTGCTCTTTTGCTCATCCCAACCACCTTTCTGATTTTGACTCAGGGGGGTAATCCCCTAATAAAAACGAAAAAAGGGAAGAACTTGGAAAAAGTTTGTACGAGCATTGTAGGGAAAGAAAGATTTTGAAAAACTTATAAAAAGATTCAGAAAAACGTATGAAGAGAAAATTTTTTAATAATGAGCAATTTAAAATCTGGAATAATTTTAAATTCTCAGTATAGGAAATTTTCGTGGAACATCAGAAAATGAAGTGGATAACGGGATAACGTACAAAATCGACAATTTAAAACCGGTGTTCCACTGTATTTCTACTTTAAAGTTTGATTAGATTTTGAACTATTTTAATTGATATTTCATTTTATATTGGAACATAATAGTTGAATAAATGAAATAAGAATGTTGTACAAAATGTTGAAATTGTGCAAAACTGTTCTAGGAAAATATTTAGATATCAATACAGATATCTTGCACAAATGTTTAGATATTATGCACACATTTGCATTATACTATAAGAGAGTCTTTAGCGAATATTCATGAACTAGGATGATGCATTATGATTTTAATGAATTTTGCAACTTAGCTATGTGAATTTTGTTTTTTATTTTATGTATCAAAAGATAATTTCGCCATATTGATTTATCAATTGTTATATTTATTGCTTCCTTTTTATGTAGTTTGATCAATATAGGCTGAAAAACATTCTAATGAAACAAATTTATATTTTTGCTCATTCATAATTTAATAAAAAAAGCCCAGTAAATAAGTTTCTTAAGTAATTTTAATTTGATCAAAGAATTATTTTCTTCTTTTTACCTGTTGGATCTAATTTTTAACTATCTTGTGTTAATCAAATTTTTCCAGCTCGAACTTCTGCCAAATTTGTGTCCCCATCAATTGACTCCACTGTTATGTTACTTACTATTAGTTATTATTATTAGTAATTATTATTATAATTAATTGTTATAACTAATTCTTAGTTGGGTTGAAATTAGAGAAAAGAATGCAAAAATATATGTTTCGCTTTATAGATTTAAAAAAAAGCAGTGAAAATTCCTTTAATAAATTTGTATTTGCTTTCCTGTAATAAAAATAAATAAATTGTTTAAATCTTTTGTTGCAGAAGAAAGCTATTGTTCTTATCTTTAGTACAAAATATTTTTAAAAACATTGTTCCCTTGCAAAAAAGTTATCCTTAATTTAACCAGATATTATATCATCTTACCAGTGAGTGAAATAAGCGAAAAACAGTTGATTTATAATAAATAGCAAAATTTTGTTGTTTTCAAACTGTTTCATTTCGAATCATTTCATTTGTTAAATTTTGAGAGAAAATTTATGCTAAATATGCAGGTTTCTTCACAAAACTATTTTTGATAGCTATTTATTAATTTTATGATTCATGACTTTTATTTAAATAGTAAAGCCAACTGCATGAAAAATGTGATCTATATAAAATATCTTTCTTAGTTTGTTATCTTTCTTAGTTTATAAAGGTTTTTCCATGTAGATTACATTCCAACTTTTTCAAAACATGTTGGTATTAATTAAGTATCTAGTAAAATGAAATTAGAATGATTTATTTATTTTTTTCTTCATTTTAAAATTTTATAATTGGTATTTTCCTTCATCAGATTATTATGCTTTGTTCGTATTTATTGGGATTCTTGTAAAAAGTGTGATTTAATCGGGGACGCAAATCGTTACAGATTTAAGTAAAGTTGGACTAATTTAATACCTTTTGTTAATGGACCCTACTGCTACGCATTTTATTAATTAATGAACAACTCTTTTTTCTTTGGTACACTTAATTAATTCCTATTTAAAAATTGAACTTATTTTGTTTTTTCAACATAATGAGAAACACATATGATCGAAAACGTTCAGTTCTATTAAATTCTTCCTGTAGATGTAAAATATTATAAATATTTGATAAACTCAAAAGATTTTTTATTTTAAAAGATTTTTATTTTTTCAATTTTGCAGCTCAGGGGAGAATAACTGATATAGTTTCAGATATTTTCAACATCAATCATGATTATTTTGGAACTACTCAGTCTACTTTAGCAAAGGTATGGAGGATTTTTTCATTTTAAAGCATGACTTCATATTATCAAAAGCCATTTTTAAATTTTAATAAAAAAATTATTTATTCTTACTGCTTTTTGTTATTATGTATGTTTATAATGTCCTTCAACCCTTTAATTTTCATATTGGTTTGGCAAATTTGCCCTAAAATCTCTTTGTCTTTGCATAATTTTTCTGTTGCAATAAACTGAAAAAAAAAATTTATCAAGGGGTTGCTCCAAACTTAGTTCATGCACAACTTTGTCATTACAGTTAAAGTTTTTGTGGAATTTTATTATAGTATTTTTTCCAGGTGTAGCATTTTTTAAAAAGTGCTTAAAATTGCTTATTTTTTATTTGCATTTTTTAAAAGCCCTTAAAGGTGCTTTTTTTTATTCCAGGTTTGTAAAAAGTGCTTAATTTTCTATATTTTAAAAAGAGATTCTTCTTTCCGGCGTCGATTGTCGTTATAAATTACAAAAAATTCATGATTTTCACAATTTTCTCTGCAATATTTATCAGAAACTAGTTATTTTATCATGATTATGTAAAGTTCTTGAAAATGTTTTTGAATTTTATTGATTTTATGTTTATAAATTACGAACTTTAAACGATAGAAAAATATAATTTTTATTACTTCTCTGATCCTAACTATGATTTTGAAATATTTTTGAGTGCTTGAAAAATAATTAAAAGAAAAGTCTGGCTATGCACACTGTTTTTCTGTTTATCAACTTATCAATAAGCATACCAATAATCTAATCAATTAAACATGTTATTCAACTAACATTTGATTATATATAACAAAACATATATAACAACATTTAATTATATTTTTGTCAACTAGCATTGAAATGACTACTGACTTAAAAATAATATACGATTCTAATATCCTCTGTTTTTCATGCAATACATGTTTCTAATAACCTATGTTCAGTTTGAAAAACTAAGCAATTTAGGACATTTCAGTACGATAAACTTTTACAAAAGCAAAATATTTCTTTTAAACATTGCTTATCTAAAAAAAAAATTTTAGAATAAGAAGAACCTTTTACACAACAATTTAATGACTTATGTATGAATTAAAAGCAAACATTATTAATAAAGCAGGAAAATGAGTTGAAAAATATATAGTTTAACCAAAGTTGTGCTATAGATTATAACACATAGCGGGAGCAACCACTCTCGGTCCCACAATAAAATGGTCGTTAATAGAGTTTGGTTGTTCTTACCTCTATTGACTTCAAAATTTTATCAAAAGCAAATGATTTTTCGCAAGTGACTTTAATTTTACTCAATATCATTTTGTTGGTGCAGAAATACCACTTGTGACTTCCTCACAAAAGTCTGAGGTATATATAAAATTTTGTGTCAATAAAAATTACCCCTACTGATGTGTGTAACGACAAATTTACCAATTGTGAATGATAGATCTATTTTAAATTAATAAACAGTGTTTTTTTGTTTAAGTTTGCATTTAATTTTATAACATAAAAATTTTTTACTTAAAAAAAATTAAAGGTTTGTTTGTTTGTAATGCTTAGTTTTTTTCTAAAATATTTTTTTTTTCTAATATAACTTTTATCTCTAAGACTAAATCCTTTTAGCATTGAGTTTAGTGCACTTTGATTGAAACATGAGGTTGTCAATCTCTTTCAGAGAAAAAAAGCTTTCTAAATAAGAGTCACTCACGAATATTTTCCTTACATTTGAATCTACTTATTTGCTTAGTTTTATTTATTTTTTGATATTTTTCCCTGTTTCCTTATTTGACCTTTTTCCCGATTGGTTTGGAGGTTTACCCGATCGCTTTGAGAGGTTCTGATGGTTTCTCCTAAATGTTTTCTTCACAAAATCTATGGAAAAAATTAAGTGAGTTAAAATGTCGCAAATAGAGGAGGTGGTCTTTCCTGGAGGTATATCACTGTATAATTATTTGAATATGTGCGTAAATTTAAAAATCAACTTCTTAATATTTTTAATTTTCAAGCTTCTAACTTGTTCCTTTTGTTTTAATTTATTTTTTCTAATTTAAATAGTTTTTTATTAATTGTAAGAAAATTAATTTTAAAAATTAAATCCTTTTTTTTAGAGAAAGACTATTAATAATTTTGTCTCCAATAACAGTTGTGAATATATGGATTTCACACCTGTGAAAAAATTAATATTAAAAAAATTGGCAAATATATAAACTGTAGTATTAATGCACTAAATAAAACTATAATTTAAAGTTATATTATTTCTTCATTAGTTAGATATGTCAACTCTTGTTGAAGATATTAATGACAAGCATTTAGGACCATGGGCTGAAGCTTGCTCAAGAGATGGCATTGAAAATACTCCACTTAATCCATATTTACACCAGGTAATAAAAAAGAAATAAAGAATATCAAAAAATAAAAAATAAAATTTGATGTAAAAATATAAATATTATATTTAAGTATTTGAAGAATATATTGTGATTTTTTTCCCCTATTTTTATTTTAATGATGAAATAAAAATATCTAACTTAAGAAACTGAAACCTTTAAAATAAATTAGTAACAAGTGAGCATTTAATAATTGCAATTTGAAAATAATCAAATTATTAAATTTTGTTATATTGTAGTTTGAATGTAGTTTTTATTTAGTGATTTTTTTATTATTGTTATTTTAAGGAATAATAACATTTTTATTTTCTTGGTAATATCAGAAAATATTTTAGAAATTATTTTAAAAAATGTATTTATTTGTTTTTGGGATTAACATGGAAAGTAGTTTCATATGGTAACCTTGTTTACCCATAGGTTAATTATATTTATTGACTTAAAAAGTTCAAGTAAGAAAATGTAAAAAGTAATTGTGTAATTACTAACAAACTATTTTTTTTCTTTACATTTATTTTATAAATAAATATTAAAACAATAGTAATTGAAAGTTGTTCAAACAGTAGGCCTACGGTTTTTTTTTATTTTTATTTATTTTAAATGTTATATATAATGTAAGGGTATAAATATCAAATTCTTTATTATTAGATGACACATTTTATGAACATGTTATGGATGTTTTTGGTCTTAAGTGATGATGTTGTTTGAGTTTTATTTTGTAGAAAATTTTTTAAATTATTCTGAAAGAATGAAAAATTTGCAAAATGCGTTAGAAAAAATTAGGACTAGTGGTTTAATTTTAACTTAATAAATGCCCCTTTGCCTATAACCAAGTATGTACTGTATTTTAAACTTTTTCAATCTTTATATACACGGTTGGCCCATTAGTGTTTTGAGAATTCTCATTGCACAGTAAAATTATATAATAAGATCATCAATAACCACGAAGATGCAGATGTGCGTGGTGACATTTGCTTAAAATTAATAAAAATTATATTAATATTAAATTAAGTTTTTTATTTCTTAAATTATTTCTTTGTTCCTAAGTTAATTACATTTACTAGTAGTATTTATTCATCATCGTTTCTATTATTATTTCCTGTTAATATTAAGTTTTTTATTGTAATTGTTATTTGAAATTAAAAGTCTTTAAAATAAAAGTGTTGATAAATGAATTTTATAACAATGATAAATAAGTTACATGCAGATTTATAATATATATTTAATTATATTTTATATTTGTACAACTCAGTACATTCCACATATACAATTAAAATAATGAGTATAAAATAACTATTTAGAATACTAAAGCAATATTAGAAATTGACTTTTTGCTCTATTTCTAAGTTATCTCTTTGGAGTAGAGTATTGAAAGTTTTTTTACAGTAATCAGAAATAAAATACAAATTTAAAAAACCAATTTTTCAGATGAATTTGCAATTGTAACTCAATAATTGTAACTTAAAATTTATCTAAATGGAATGGAAAACCAAGTCTAGTGAGCCAAATATCTGTGTTGATGCATAAAAAATATAGGGCTACTTTATGTGAACAATTTTTAATTTTGATATAACAATCTGTTCAATATCTAGAGATTAAAATAATTAAATTATATGAAGCAGTCATGGGTGAACAAGCATTGAATCATGCTATCACCTGATATAAAGAATAAATTGGCAATTAATTTTTCACAACTTAATGAGAATACTTTTGTTGTACATAATTATTACACAAAAATTTATTTTAGTACATTGTTTGAAGAAGTGTATTTTTACCTGCATTACATTAAAAAAAAAGTTGTATATATATAATTTTCTTTTGTTCTCTAATCATATAATTAAGTTATAACCTTTATTACTTATACTATTTTGATGATTAATTAAAATTAATTATATTTTTATTTTTATAAATTCTAGTTAATTTGGATAAATTCACTTCACAGAAGTTTTTATAAATTAACTAATATAAAGCTGCCTTAATTGTAAAATAAGTTGTAAAGTCAAAATCTGAAATGATTAATTGTAAAAAAATATATATAATTTTTTATTTTGTCATAAAATTAAATTAAATAGTAGTTACTAATAACAGTTATTGATATTGAACATAATGTTAAAATATTTATTAATTTTTTGTAATTGCACTTCACAGGAGCTGTTATACCATAAGCATTTAAATCTTGATGGAAGCAAGTTTGAATCAACTGGATTTACTTATATAATACCAAATTTAACTAAAGAAAAAGTTCAAGAGGTTTGATTTTATTTATTTGTTTATTTTTTGTATTTGTTCAGTTTCTAATTTAAATTTTGTGCTCTGTTAAGCCTTGTGTATGTAATTAAAATATTTTGTTCTAATTAGTTGATTACATGCACAAACTTTGTAAATGTTATGTTCTCAATATCAAAACTTTTTTTTACTATATAGTAATAGTAGTAATTGAATATTGTCTGCCTGTCAAAGATTACTTGAAGTGAAATATAATGTTGATATAGAAACAAAATAAAATTTGCCTTATATTAATTTACCTAATATATTAAAAGCAGCCAAGCAAATATTTTAAGTTTAATATTATTAAACTTAATGAGGGATTATAAATTGAGTTTTATTGTTGTCTCAGGCAATATGAAGACATGTCAGAATCCAAGCTGGGGAGTAGATGAAGGTTTGAGTGATATTTTAGTAAATTTGAGCAAACCAGATTTTTAAAATTTATTATTTCCACTGAAAATAGTTTATGCTTTGCCTTTAATTTCAAATGATGAAATCTAAAAATTCCTAATACTTATTTAGACTATTTGCCTCAAAGCATTTGCCCTCTTAGTGTTTTAATTTGATGCAAAAAACAAACAAAAAAGATTTTATTAAGCTACTCATCAACTATTTGCTGCCAAATGTATTTGATACCCTCATCCACTTCAAAAACACATAAAGATTGGCACTTAATTCCTTCATTAACTGAAATGTGATAATTTGGTAAAATAAATCAATGTTATTCACTTAAGTAAGATCTTTAGTCAAGAAAAAATGTCTTTCATGACTTTCTTCCAGAAATCTCTACAATTATTTAAATCTATTAATTTTGTAATCTCTAAAGTGTGTAATATATTATAGCTTTTTCAATTACCGTTGGTCTGGGCCGTAAAATATGTCAAAAATGAAATTAACTGAGAAGTGATATCAAATTATTTCAATGCTTCTTAGATGTGGAATTTGATTTTTGTCTGTTATTTCCCTTTAAGTTCATTTTTATGAATTTCACTGTCATAGGCCATTTTTTGTGTAAGAGGAACAATCTTTAAGTATAGCAAACCTATATTATAACGTTTATTTAAAAACAAAATTAAGAAATAGATTTACCATATGATAGGTATCTATAAATTAAAATGTTAAGGAAAATTAAATCATTCATTTAAAGAGTTTTCAACAAAAAAAAATTTTTTTTTTCAGTAACACGCCACTGATGTTTGAAACTCTTTGGGAGTAGCAAAAATAAAGAACAAAAAATACTAATAGAAAAAAACTGCAGACTTTTTTCTTTACTATTGATATTTTTTGACTACTTTTATTTTACCTTGGAAAAAAATTGGAATTGGTCTGTTATTAGCATTTTAAAATATATATAACTAAATTTAAAAAAATGTTAGTAAAATTTTTGATTAAGTTATTTTTTATTTGTTCCTTTTTTTCCAGCTAAAATCACAGAGTAAAAACATTTCATAATGAAGTTGCCATTATTAAATATTATTCAATTCAATGCTTAATTAGATGTATCTGTAGATACAATTCAAACTTTGAGAATATATAGTCCAACGTTACGTTTCAGACATTCTTGAATACTTTAGTCATTTCTTATGTTACATTCATTCATTATGGTCCTTTGATAGTTACTTTTTTTAGTGAATTTTGCGAGGCAGAAAATTTTCTAATTGAAATTTTCATTATTAAATTCAGCACTTATATCAAATGCTGAATTATTCAATTCAGAAACAGATACATCTGTTTCTAAACAAATCAGATTATACATTTTTCAAATTCAAAGTTTGTGAATTAGTCCAATATTATGTTAAAAGCTATTGAATATTTAAATATTTTCTTAATTGTTTTTTTAGACAGAATTTAAACCAATTTCTAAACCAAAGTTCTTCTTCTTTGTCCGCGCAACAGCCCCTTGCAGGCATGGACTGCCTCAACAGCTGGCAAACGCCAGCGTCTCCTATCCATGGCAACTCCCTTCCAATTTCTAATCTTGGGGGTTTTCAAACCAAAGTTGCAACTATTAAATATTCTGATATCCCGCAACTTAAATCAGCTAGTTATATCAATCTTAAATAAAATAAAAAGATTTTTTATCTTCAATAAGTGAGGGTTCCGAATTCTGGGATGGATGAGGAAAAGTCAGATCAATGCCATTACAAGCATTTTTAGCACTGAATCCTTTATAGGAAAGGAAATAGTTCATTTTAAAATAAAAGTTTTTGCTTTTAAGTGTAGTATACCCATACAGTTCTATAGATAGTTTAAATCATTCTAATATACATATTTATATTACTTGCTATAAACATTTAAATATTATTTTTCAGGTTTTAGATGACTACGTAAAAATGGGAATTTTTCCATGTTCATTGGTTTTATAATGCACAGAGAATGACTGTAGCCTTGTAGCATCAGCCACCAGTATTAAAAAGTATTGACACAACTCATCAAAATAGTATAAATCTAGTTTCTAGTCTACATAAAAAGAAAATAGTTGCTTACTCTTTCGCTTTATCATCCCATATCAATATTTTGAATGAAAAATAAATCTGAGGTACATGCCTATTTACTCTCTCAAAGTAATTTATTAATATCTATATATATTTGAAATGGATTAGTTAAATATATGGCACCTGCCAAGATTAAGACTTACGCTCAAAATGTTTCATTGATTGAAATAATATGTTTATTATTTTATGACATCTTGTTAATAATTTACTACGCACATAACTAATTTCATATTAAGATGATTTATTATATATATATACACATCATTAGTTTGTTATATTGAATATTGTTATCCATTCCAAAATCATTTTTTATCAGTGTTTTAATATTTTTTTATCAATGTTTTATTGGTTTACATATTGTCCTTTACAATCAATCGGTGATGAAATAAATTTTGAAATTCCAATGATCTTTTTGAATTATTGGTATCCCATTTATTCATTCAAAATAATTTTTTCAATATGTATATATATAATTCCTGACAATCAATCGGTGCGAAGAAATATTTTTAAATCCCAATGATCTTTTTCAATTATTGTTATCCAATTTATTATTTTTGACACATGAGCTATATATAATTTTACTCATTACATAAATCTTGATATTCATTAGTTTTATTTATATATGTTTTATTGTCTTTTCATTTTTTACTTGTTAATAGATTCAAAAGTTTTACAAATATCTTGTTATTGCTGCCAATTCATTTTGAAATTTTTTTAATTTTAAAGTATTCAATAACTTTTTAATTTGTTATTTAAGCATTCGTAGATCTTTTGTGTGTAATTTACTTCATTTTATGGCATTACTTGTCTGACAAAAATCGGTGATGTTAACTATATATTTTAAGATCTTGTTATAAATTGTTCCTTTCTTTTTTCCATTATATTTGTGATAACATTTTAAAGTTGTTATTTGTAATATTTTCACTTTCATAATATTAAGGTTCTTGACTGATTTTTGTGTTTGAAAACTATAATGACCACTTACAATTCAAATCTATTGCTTACTATTAGTGTTCGAAAAAGTTTGGTTAAAATTTCCATCTAATGATGCCCAAATAAAAAAGAATATAGCCAAGCATGTATGCCAATTGTAAAATTTAAACTGACAAACATATCGAGGGCAAAACCAGGACATGGTTTAGAAGGATATTCAGTTGTTAATTAAAATTTGTAAATTTTTATTATTATTCATAAATGTCGCTTACCTGTTCTTGTAATGTGAAATGTAACTTTATGAACATTGCTTAGGAATTTTTTAAAAATGCATGAAATAAAGTTTTAAAACTTTTCTTAAATTTGGTCATTGAAAACTCAAAAATTATGTGTTTATTTAATTTTCTAAATCTGATAGTGAAAATAAAAGATAGTAATTTTTAGCACATAAAAAGGTAATATGAACAAACAACTGCTACTAAATATTTTATATTCACATTTAAAAATTATTCATATTTATTAAAATCTTTTATTCTTTGTAAAACACTAAAGTTAGAAAATGCAATATGGACAGCTTCTTTAAAGTTTTAAAACTAAAATTTTAAAAAAAAAACATTTTAAAACTTTTCTATGCATTTTTAAAAATTTCTTAATTCAAAATTACATTCGAAACTCTCTTCACCATTTATATTAGGATAGGTAAATACATCTTTATATTTTTTGCTTATGCTTATCTTTATATGATCCATCGTTAACTGTTGAGTAATCATATTTTTCATACATAAGAATTGTGCAAAATGTTGTTGCACTTTCATATAATTAATTAGTGCAGTTGTATTTTGCAAATTTTTACACTGCCTGATGAATTTAGATGTTTTGAAGTTTTTAACTTTAGTTATTTATAGTAGTAATACGTTTGAGTGGTAATAGAAAAGAATTGTACATAAATTATTATTCTAATTATAGTAAAGAAATGAGAGAAAATGTCGATGTTAAAAGTAAGCAAAACGTTATTTTGGATATTCGTGAAAGTGTAAAAACTTATTCATATTATCAGGATTTTATAAATGTTAAAATATTTAGATATCTAGTTAAGTGTTAGTACTCTTTTCAATAGTGCTCCCTATCACCTGATTTCAGTTTCTTTTAAAATGTATGAAAATTAAAATGAATCTCATTTAGTTTTTTTTTTTAAATTAATCCGAATCTCTTTTGAATTAATTGTCCTCTTCCGACAGAAAAGGAATTCTACTTTACACTGTTAACTTGTGCGTTACTGTTAAATTACACAAACACAATTTCCTCATTTAAATTTTGAAATATTTTTCTTTCAATTTTTATTCATTGATCCCCGATTACCAAATTTTAATAGTGTGAGCATTTAATAATTTTTCTTAACTATCATAATACTGAATTAGTTACTTAAATAAAAACTTAATTTGTGTTCACACAATTCTTCATAGGTTATTACGGGAAGTAGAATGAGTTCTTTTTCTGTCTAAAGAAGGCAATTAAAATATAAAATAAATATGAATGATAATTATTAAAAATATGATTATGATTCGAAGGTTGAAGTTTTTTTTTTGTTTATGTAAATTAAGTAACCAAATGTGAACTCATTTTAAAATCCTTTTCATTTAGAAAACTTTTTATTCAATTCTACACATCTAATAGCTTCTTGTCACCTTTATTTATGATTTTATATTTGCAGCCTGACATAACTTTCTTCTAATCATGCATTTGCTTCAATATTTTGTAAATGTTCTATTTGCCAATTGATAATGTTATGCAAAATTTTATTTATTAGTGGCTTTATTTCTAGATAAAGCCCACGCCTTAAGAATGCTTAGAAGAGGTACTTGCTCAAGAAAACTTAAGTAACAAAATTAATGTTGGGAGCTTTTAAAAAAGTTATATGATAGTTATTGAGTAATTAGGAATTACATTAATAATATTTATATAAATTTAGTAAAATTAAAATGATTAAATGTTATTAAAAGATTTAAATAGTAGTTGGAATTTTGCTTAGGTAACTTGAAAGTTTTATTTCCCCCTTTTAAAAAAAAGGATAAATATAATTAATGTGTAAATTTTATTTTTGTCTTTAAATTCTGTATTTGTATGATTAGCAGTTTAGAGATATAGAAAATAGGGATAGACTATAAAAATCAAAGGATGAAAGTTTTTTTTTTTTAAGTGCCAAAATTTTTTTTTCTGTTGAAAACACGTTTGACTTGTTATGATAATGTTGTTAACATTTGTTTTATTATTGCTGTTAAACTTTACTGTGATATTGAAACAGTTAACAGACTTCTGTTGCCATACTTTTTTGTTTACAAGAATCATTCGCTTATAATTTCTACACATATGGAGTTAGTTAAACTGCAAGATTCACCGTCATTTCATTGTTAGTAACTAATATTAAAATATTCTTAATGAAAACTATCATCAAGAGTCCAGTACTTCAAGTTACACAATATTGTGACTCATTAATGCCCAAGTCCCAATTTTTAAAAAATATTTTACTGAAATTATAAATGGACTTGAAGCGACTAAACATTATGTTCTCTGAAGTAACCTGCTGTTTGTAAATATTGCTTTGTTATAAAAAAATGCTCGTGTCAAATCTTTTGTATGTTGGGACCATTGTTTACCTTTGCTGTTAAAAGTACAATTTGCGATATATTTGTACTTCATATATCTTGAAATAAAGTTTTTAATGATCATGTAAGCAGTATACTTTTTAATTACTCCATTTTCTGAAAACAATTTTAAGTTTCTTCCAAAAATATTTAAACCAAGTCCATAATTTTAACCATCCAGTCCAAAATCTTTTTGTTCAAATTATGTCAAACTATTAAAAAAATATTGTGATAAAATAAAAGGTTAATTTTTGAACAAGAAACAAAATTAGGACAAGTTTTTGTTTCATTAAAAAAGTTTATTATTATATGTATAATGGTTACCTTTTAACAATGTTCAAGGTTTTGGACACTTAAAGACAATAAAACCCGTGTCTTGTCCAAAACCGATTTAAGCTTGTTAATCAAAGGTATATTATAAGTAAAAAAAAAATAATAAATAGCTATTAGTACATTAAGTTAACGGACATAGACTTCAATGTAAAAATTTTTGGCCGAAGTTTTTCTATGTCACAGCAAAACCCTGGCAAAACAAATATATAATTAAGTTTTAAAATTAATTTAGTCTTTAATGAAGACCTGAATACGTAGCTCAAGTTGAGATATTTATTTTGGTGACCGTATTTTTTTTTTTAAATAGTTTCTACTTTTAAACACTGTTTTTTATTAATTTCATATTCTCTAACTTAAATATCTACCGTTTATTCGGATAGTGCATAATTGTGTCTTTAGTGATGTGGAATAATTAATAATGAGTCAGTGAAGGCTTTGCTTTTTATATACATAGATATATGATGTAAAAAGATATAACTATACATACAGCCTTCAAAATTTATACTTAATATAAATTAATGTGTACAACTCATGCAGTCTAAAAACAATTTTGTAAAATTTTCAGTATTAATACATACAGTATGTAGTACCTGATAAATATTTTGAGTACTTTATCTATTGATCAAAACAATTTCTACAACAAAATTTAAAAATCATTCAGAAAATTTATGTATTGTGAAGAAATGCAATTGGATATAGTTGAATTTTTTTTTATTTTTTAGATTCTTACGTTAAGGCATGAGATAAAACAGTAAAAAATTGATAACATTAGAGTTTTATGTTCAAAAAAATTATGTAAATGGGAAATTGTATAGAAAATTTTATAGAGTTTAAAATCTTTAAAAAATTATCAGAACTTAAATTTTTTTTTCTGAACGCAATTTAAAGTATTGTTTCAAAAAGAACCTTCATAATTAAAGAAAAAAAAAAGAAGAGAAAATGCAAAATTGTATATTAATAGTAGTATACAGCATATCAATCGGGTTTGAAGTGATAAAATGATACCTAGTTATTCATATCTATATTATAGTTTATGCACCAATATTTCACAATCAATAAATGTCAGACTTTATCGATTGTGATATATTGCATTACCGGTGTATAAGTAGACCCCCCGATTTTTGTGAAATCTTGGAGGTTGAGTAAATGGATAAGACTTTAGCCAACGTTATACAACAAAATAGAAACTGCTGAGAAATCTATTCACAACTGTCAGATATTTGTATCCTCTGGCATTAGGATGTCCATCTTAGAGTAAGCATTAGTGGTGAAATAGCTAACTTATGTTTGTTGCTAAGTTTTATTTCTGCTAAAAGAAATCAAATTATGTAGAAACACAAGAAAAATATACGAATAAAACGGTCAAAATAATACAGACCTTCTAACATAACATAGCTTACTTCTTTCGCAGTAAACTAGACCATTTCTTTCTGTATTTTTTAGACTAAATTGACATTTTTTGTAACTCTGAAATTTAATTCTCTATCAGAAGAAAGCAAGGGAGAATATCTACCACCCCCCTTCTAGTTAAAATATTCCTTTTTTTTTTAATGAAAGTAGACTGGCCATATCACCTTCCAATATAAATTTTTTGTTAACCTTTCAGGGTCAAATAAATTTCATCAAGGAATATATAATATTTAATAACTAATTTTTTTTCTGTCCACAATAAGAATTAGCGGATGAAAAAAATACAAGTTCAACAATGCTTAGTAATCCTTTAACATTAAAGAAACTAATTTGAAATTTAAACAAAGTTCATGTAGCTGCAAAATATGAATAATTAGCAATAAAGAATTATGCAGCACAAAAATAATAATAATCTCCAACTTTAACATAAAATACGAACTCTAAGAAATATTCTAATAACATTTTTAGAGAAGAATGCTCCTTGAACAATGTGTCAACTTGCATTTTTTTTCTCACAGTGATATCTTATTTATTTGAAGAAAAAAAAGTTATTATATTCTAAACACGCTTACACATCAATTAAAATTCAAACCAACAAAAATAAATACACAAGACTTCTCACTTGAAATCACTGAATTTTTATTCACAAATAAGTTCAATTTCTATTAAATAAATAAGCATCAACTTTTTTTTTTATTCATATACATAAATTAAACAGAAACAGGCAGAAGAATGATTTTGTATATTATTCTCCCATGTATTCAAAATGTGGCATAAAACTATTTTTATGGCATATAACATCAAAGGCCTTCTTCAAATCTATAAATTTTATTAAAACTATATTATGAACCAAACAAAAAAAAATACAAAAGCATAAAATAGTCTCATAATTAATAAAAAAAATTATACACAGCTATCAATACATAAAAAAAAATGTTCAGTTTTCTTAAATATAACTAAAATTTCTTGTAAATTTAAAATAATGAAATTACAAAATGCTAAAACTTTTTTAATCTGTAAAAGTGAATTTAGAGTTGTGTAAAGCTGCAGCCAGTGCAGACACTTTAAAGTGTTTTTCTAAATTGTGAGCTTTAAAAGTATTCACACTTATTAACAGAAGAAATGTGACAAAAGAGTAGAGATACCACAGCTATAATGTCATAGCAACATTTACAATTCTCTACTCTACTTCACAAAAGAAAGAATCTCAAATTAGTCATTAAACAACCACTGAAAGAGTAAATTTTAAACAATCATATAGAGCTCCCAAGTAATGCATTCTTCGATAGCAAAAGAAATATTTTTTACAGTTTTGCATATTATATAAGAATCTAAGTCAACAAGTAGAAAATCTGATATTATGCTCAATGAATCAAAAAACAGCATAAAAACATTTCATATAACCTTAGCAGAAACACGTTCTTAGTAGGAAGTAGGCCCAACACATCTTTTCTTGTTCGACTTTTAATAAAACCAATGGAAGATTTTGATATCCTCTCAAAAAATAGAGTATAATCTATAAAATACTTCAATCTATAATTAATTTATCTTAATCCTGCATGCACGACCAAGATGAAAATGTATCTGCGAATCGCAAGAAATCTATTAGTATATGAACACAGAACTATGTATACAGATGATTAAACACAGCATATTACCCCTTACCCCCAGAAGAGACGCATGCAACCTTGGGACGCAATGAAATATTTTATATATTGCTTCTTTTTTTTTAAAGCATTTATCAGTGGCAAAATATAAGATTACTTAAAATGTGTACAACATTATCAGAACTGTACAAGATATTACATATGAAGCCCTAACGTAAAGCTATATGGCTCTTTTCACTAATACGCACCTTTAAAGTATACTTACAAATACACAAAAGAACACAACATGTTAATTCAGTCATTTTGTCACACTATATAAAAGGTTGCATGCACCCGTATAATCTGATAATCAATGCAATTTATTCTTAATTCTCTCCGCAATGAGAATACCATGCAACATAGAATATTCATGTTAGTTACAGGCCAATTTCATTTATTTAAAAGGAAAAAGAAAATAAAGGGCGCTGCTGCTTTTGCAGTAAATTTCTTTCTGTTTGTTTTTGGCCACAAATATAGTTAAGAAAAACTTTTTTTTTTATATATATAATAAAGAAAGTGAAGTGCACAAAAAAAGTTGTATGTAGGCCAATTTCTTAAAAAAGTTTCTATGCTTGACAGCAAGGTTTTTTGCGCATGTCTGGACTGTCTGTTGGTGGAATGCTAATAGGTTTTATGTTATCTCCTCCGGGAGATGGATCGTTGTCAGCATCATTTCGAATTTGCTTCTGGGAGATAATACGATAGATTTCTGAAAAAGAAAAGATTTTTTTTTTTAACAACATTTGCGATTACAATAACAAAAATTAACAGCTATAAATATGTCTGTTCAGAACAAAATAAAATAAAGAGTTCCTAAATTGTGTTGCAATATTTAAAATCAAACAAGGTAAATCTTGACAAAGTTTGTGACAATTTTAAAAAAGCATTCCTTTTTAACCTTAAGAGCACCTAGTGATAAAATATACATGAAGTGCAAAAAATTTTTATACTATTTTACGTTAAAAAAAAATTTCTCCCCCTTTTTAGGGTAAAGATGCAGGTTTTTTAAAGTACTAAAAAAGTTAATTAGCTGAAATTTTAAACATTTTCTTACAAAACAATCAACATTATTTAAAAAGGACAAGTTTAGAATGAATACAGGTATTATTATTTAAAGCTTTAAATTATGGTAACAATTTTAGCACATTTTTTAATACTGCTGCACTAAAAAGATTCTGTTTTCAAAATTAATGCAGTTACATAATATCTGTATTTTAAGCATTTGCTGTAAAAAAATTGTCTGAAGGAAGGAAAAAATTTATTAGCTAAGCAAGCCTTATATAGAAATGTATTAATTCTAGTTTCTAACCTAAATTTGAATTAGCAACACAGCAATTCTTTATGTATTTTAAATGCTAAAATTTTATGCTTATACCATGCAAAAATGCATTTTTTATTTCCTGGTTCTAAATAATATTCAGATCAATTAGATAAAACAAGTTCAAATGGCATGTAGGTCATACTTTAGTTTTATCAAAACCAATTTAGCTTGCTAATTTTTATTTCTATCAAAGACAAAAATTAAGATAATTTTAAATAAATTAGGTATTTAATTATGAAAAAAAAACATTTAACACATTTTCTTTTAAAATTTGGTACAATTTAGTTTCCTTATACTCTTAAATAAATAATGTGATTCTGAACCAAAAGAAATTTACAAACAATTAGCTTCATCTAAATACATCAACAATCTATAAGCTGAATAAGAACTGTTTAGAAATAGATCTAGGACTTCTGGAAAAATTACTTATTATAGTTCAAAGAAATTAATAATAAAAATGTATTCATACCCGTTAAAATTTGTTGGAAAGCTGCTTCTACATTTGTGGTGTCCAATGCAGAGGTTTCAATAAAAGACAGATTATTTTTTTCTGAAAGTGACAAAATTAAATTAAAATCTAAAGATAAAATTAATTATGAAAAATAGAATACAAACTTAATTTATATTCTATTTTTCATAATTAATTTGTAAAATAAAAAACAGAATATAAACTTAATACATCCAAATATTTCTTACAGTTTCTTTTTTTTTTTAATTTTTAATCAGACTTCATAATGAGTTGAAGAAGAAAAAAGGAAATTTTTTGAAACAGTATACAAATACCATTCTATTTGTAAAAAAGAAAGTAACTAACTAAAAAGTATAATTTGCTCTATTTTTATGTAAAAAAAGCAAATTTTACTTAAAAAAAAAAATACTCTTATGGGGTTAAAGGTTATTCTAAATTTGTGTGTAATAGTCAATTCAACTACACCAAATGCAGAATTTGGTTCGTTCTGCCAGGTTTCAGTTTTGTCTACCTGTGAAAATATAGTACAATTATTGTGGGGGGACTATTGTGTGGGTATTATGACTTATAGATATCAACCTATTCCGAAAATGGACATATTGGGAAGAGCCCATTAATTGGCATTGAGTGAAGTGCAGATTTTTAAAATAAATATTGTGAATGGCCCATTTCTAATAAAATGACCACAGACTATGTAAAAAGAACAGTGACTTTCGCATAAGCTAAAAGTGTTTAAGTTGCATATGTAAAAATATAAATGAACCTAATTAACTAATATTTTTATACAAACTGAGTGATACAATTAAAGAGAATTACATAATGCAAAAATTTTATAAATAACAAAAACCTTACATAACTTCTATATTGATTGTTAACAATGTATGGTTGTCAACCCATAATATAATTAGANAAAAAAAAAAAAAAAACATTACTAAATTTAAACTTTGCAGGGAGAAAAAATACCACTTTAAATGCTATTTTATTTTAGTTCTAATTCATCATTTTTTATTCAAAATTAACATATTAATTTATTTTATTGATGACCATTAGTAAAATAATAAAAGTAAATTATGTTAATTTTACAATCTTTAAAGCATTTATTCAATAAATAGATAAAATATTATTGACTTAAAGGATATAATTCACTTAATATTTGCAACAAAAATCAACATTTTTTTGTCTAAAATTGCTCCAAATCTATTCATATTAAATTTCATCCAAGCTGCACTGTGAATTGTAATAATTTCTAAAAATAGAACTAAATCTTCTATAAATGAGGCTGTGTTTTCATAAAACTCACACAATTTGTTTGAAATAATACATTTGTTTAAAAAAACATACAATGGGTAAAAATAACAGTTAATTTTGTATTATTCATATACTCTTGCTGCATTAAAAAAGTTGATTCCTAACTGTAATTCCAAGTAGTTTAAAATTATTGCTCTTAATGCTTGAAAGGTTAAAGCACTTCTTCAAACTGTTTCAAATCAAAATTCCGCAATTGACGTTCAAAATTGTTCCTAACATTCTATCTTATTAATGTATTATCAATTTTATACTCCTTTTATATTACAGTTTTTGAAAAATATTTTTAATAAATGCGGACTTTTTTAAGAGGTTTAAACAAAGGGGAGAAAAAAAAAGTTTTTTTTGGCCTGGCTGAAATCTAGCAATTTGGAACGATCTAGGATCAATAAAAATGAGAGACAAGATCATTCATTAATTACATATAATTGCTAATTCAAAAGTATATTAAGTTAAGAGTGAAATTTTTTACCATTTCAATCACAGCAAGGTCTGTGAGGACTACAGTGGAATTCTACAGGGAAGCATAACTTTATACTTTTATATTATTTTTCACGTTATTTATCAAGACTTCAGCGAGGAAAAGATGGAAATTTAGTATGATTAAAACCCAAGCAAGTAATGTGGTATAGAACAGAAAAAAATTTAACAAAAATAAACTTTTCTTAAATGCGAAACATGTTCAATTGATATAACAACGATCAATTTTGTTCTGTAACTGCATAACTAAAATCTATAACTGAAGTTTAAAATAAAATTTGACAGCAAGAGAGAATTAGCATTCATAAACATTTTTTTCATTTCTGAACGTGAAACATTAAGTGTAAATTCTTAATAAACCTTTTTTAACATATTAAATTTGATTACATAACAAGTTTAACATTTTCAATTATAAAAGTACCATATATGTTCCATACTTGATAACATATCTTTTATTGTCTTAAATATTATAACAAGCTTACAAGGGTTTAAAAACATGCAAATTGCTGTTCTATTAATAGCAACAGCAGAAAAAAATATTTTCAAATATTTTTCATTTTTTTATATTCATTTGACATCTTCATTACAGTTTTACCTTCATTTGTTTTGGATAAATATAAACACTAAAATGCCATTACCATCTACTTTCCCTTATTAGAATTTTTATCTCCCATGCTCAACTACTTTGGCCACATACAATAATAATTTACCATATGTATTAAAAATTCAAAACTAAGTTGTTTAGGTTTTACCGCAATTTAAAAATATTTTTTCACAGAGTTTCACTTGTCCCAAGCACTTACATCATTACCACCCAATAGTTATTTAGAACTGTTAGCTGTTCTTCAAAGGCCCTATTGTCTCATGAAATAAAACTTTTTTTCTTTGTTTAGAAAAAAATATGTTACTCATACAACTGCTCTGAGTTTGCAACAGTTGATCATATTTGACCGACCTTTAGCCAACATTATCAGTGTTTTCACTAGAGATCGAGAAAATCTCGCCTATTTTTTTCCTTTCTCGCAATAAAAAACTATTAACGCGAGAAGTTCGCGCACTCTATTAACAGGGTTGCCACAGAAAAAATTAACAAAATAGTTGCTTTTAGTAGCCTAAAGCATGAAAATAGTTGCCTATATAAGAACAAAAATTCATCAAAAATATGACTAAAATTTTGTTAATGACTTAATTGTCATATACCATGATCCATTTAGTCAAGTTGGTGGCAAATATGATAATTTTAATTTTTATATAAACGTTAATGTTCTAGCACTATTTTCCTTTTTATCAATAATTGATCTAGGAAATATATATATTTTTTAATCATGCGGAATTCCGTAGTCACTGAAATAGAACCATCAAAAAGGCGAGAAACGAAATAGACTTAAAATGGAATCTGTGCAGATAAAACGAATTAAAAAGTGAAGACTCAAATTTGCAATTCAAAATTTTCAACATTTTTTTTCTTCTTTTTTTTTAAGGGGGAAAAAAAAGCTGTGTTTAGAAACTATTGCGGGATGCAGATTTTCAACCCAAGTCATGCTAAAAAAATAATAAAAAAATAAAAAAAAAACAACGCTACAGCAACAAAGGAAGTAGAGAAAAGTCTCCCAATAGTCTCCTTTTCTTGAAAATAGTTGCTTTTTCAGGCAAAAAAAGTAGCCATAGTCGCCTCATGTCAAAAATAGTTGCATTTTAGTCGCCTTTGGCAACCATGTATTAATCAATTTCAAAATGCATGAATTTTGGAAAAAATGTAGTCTTTTGCCATTTTGAATAAAATCCGTTTCACTTTTCTTCCTTGATCTTTCATTATTCTGAACATCGGTCCTTGTTATCTAGCTTCCCTATTTATCAGTATTGTTCAGAACCGGTGCGAACAGCAGAGCACCCCTCCCCCAAGCACGGAACCCCTTTAAGAACACATTTTTCTGCAACCACGTGTTCACCGTAGGTAAGGTTTCTTCATGTAAGATGTTTACATTTTTTGTGCATGAATGTAAGATGGACAAATANCACCCCCCCCCAGCACGGAACCCCTTTAAGAACACATTTTTCTGCAACCACGTGTTCACCGTAGGTAAGGTTTCTTCATGTAAGATGTTTACATTTTTTGTGCATGAATATAAGATGGACAAATACCTTGTTAAGGCGACTTCTTCTACTCTGTAACGGAGAAATTAAAATGAAACAAATGTCATTAGAAACGGTCAAAACGAAACAAACACAGATATTTTTCAGCCAAATAAATATAATAGCCGATCAAAAAGTAGATACAGAACATTTTCCATATGATGACGCAGCAAAAATATTCAATTAGAAGATGTGAAAAATGTACCTATTATAATTAAAGAACTAATTTTTTTCCACGTCTATTCGTATTTTTTTAATTTTTAGAAATCTCACTTAACATTTTGAAATCTCACCCTGTTTTTGAGAAAGGGTGAGAAATTCTCTCCCATTTTTTTTCTGTAATGAATACACTGATTATTATCTATGTTAATTCTGAAAATGAAGTAAAACATCATTATGAAGAAAATCCACATTTTTGTAAAAAAGAAAAGTATTTTTAATCGAATTTTTGATATTTGAAATTTGAACATTTTTTTCTATTAATGCTGCATTATCTGAGCTTACAAAAATTTACGAAACAATCCTTGATTTTTATGATTTTCATTTAGGAAAAATAATTTCTGATAATTTGGTTTAAATTATTTTTTTTTTAGAAGATAAAAATTCTCCAAATTTATTAAAATACATGTGACAAAAACAACCTTTACAGGAAAATCAGGACAACTAAAATTGTAAAATTAAAAATAAGCATTAGAAATTTTAAAATAAAACTATCCAGGTTCACAGACAATGCATTAAATAAATTATAATTACATCAAAATTATAATTGGTTTCTAAAAAAAAGAATTGAAAGAAATACCCGCAAATGCCTTAGCTTCATCTGTAGGAACAGCGCGCAGATGTCTCAAATCACTTTTATTTCCTACCAACATGATAACAATGTTCTGATCTGCATGGTCTTGTAATTCTTTCAGCCAACGCTCAACATTTTCATACGTCAAGTGTTTCGCAATATCATACACCAAAAGAGCACCAACAGCTCCTCTATAGTAGCTAAAATAGCATAAACAATTACGTTAATGAATTATCCTAAAAATGAGTTTTACAAAACAGCCTGAAAACTAAAATTATTTAAAAATAGACTTTAATTGAGTTCATTCTTTTAGTCCTACCAACCGCTACTACTAGGGGGAAAATTAACTTCTGGAACAAATTTCAAGAAATAACTTTTAATTAAATATTTTTTGCTTAATTGATATAACTAATTAAAATCTTGGAATGATAAACTTCATTTTAGTGGAATAAATTTTTTCTCAATCACACAAGAGATAAATATTTTATTTTCAATAAAACACATTTATGATCTCATTGATAGGGCCGAGATAGCCTGGTGCTGGACTCACGCCTTTTGCATAATAGAAGATTAGGCAGCAGAAAATCAATAACGGCGAATCTGTCATTTTTGCGATTTCAGATTATCTTAAATATCTCTCTTAAAGTTAAATATAAGCATTAAGAGGACAGGCATGGCGCTGGACTCGTGTTCCCATGAACAGGAGTTTTAATCGCAGACTCCCCGTTTAATAAATGGTGAAAGTTAAATCAGTCAGGTCACAAAGTCCTCCCTGTTTCTATAACAAATTATGCCTCCGGGGGCACTGAATTGGAGATTGAACGTTCTCTGGTTCAGGTCAAAATTACAATCTGTGGATGAATGCATGCGTGAATGGGTCCGCCCTATAAATAGGTGTGACATATGAGTATGGCAAAAGCTTAATTATTGGCCATAAATTGTGCCACTGAAAAGAACAATCTCCACTGCCGTATCAACAACAACATCTCATTGATATAACTGAACCATTCATGATTAAACTGAAATCCATCTCAATTATATCAGAAATTTCATCAAAAAATTTTATGATTATTTCAGGTCAACATGATAGTAGTCTATCTTTCCTACTCCTTAACTCTCAATAGAAAGGGAAAAACTACAAGTATTGAGACATTAAATTTAATTCATATGATATCAAGTTTACAAATTCTTTAATAAACAGGCGTAGAATTTAAGTTTATAAATAGTTTTCAGGCATATATGAGAACAAATCTGTATAATGGTATTAGGAAAATCAGGGCATTATTCAGAAATTATGAAACTTTATACTTAGAATATACACCATACAGGCTACAGAGAAAATGATAAGTATTCAGGGGTCTGTCTAGGTTTTTCAGAGAGGTACCTATTTTGTGAAAATTTTGATACAATTTGTGAAAAATTTAAAATTATATTAAAAAATCAACACAAAAACATGGTAAAAATATAGATTTACCGTTTCTTAAGGATACAAAAATAAAATTTTAAGAAAAAGTATTTTGTGAAACTACTGTTTTCCTAAAATTTAATTTGCGAAGGTACCGCTAAACAGTAGTAAATTCAGCCTCGACAGACCTCTGGTATTACAATATAAATATTTATAAAAACATTGAAGGGGAATGCAGGGGAGCAAATAAATAGAACTGAAAAATCAAAATTAAGAGCAAACTTTCCAAGAATTATATATTTTTAAAAAAATTTATATTTCAATATTCCTTAAAAATCATTAACTAAAAGCTTTTGTTTCGAAAAAAAAACACAATCAAAAGAAAAACACACATACCTGCCAACATTGGAGAAATAAAATAATTGAGATTTTACTAGCAACATTTTTTGGTAATCATTTCATTCAATAATTACATAATAATTTAAGTCAAAAAGGGAAATTCAAAATCAGAAATAATATAAGCACTTACATTTAGCAATGTAAAAAATATGTATATAAATCTTAATCTAAAGAAGATTTTTTTAAATCATTATTTATAATTACTTAAACTCTTAACACTCAACAGCAGTACTGGCAGTAGCACCATTTGTTGAGAAATAAGAGAAGTATTTTAGCCATCAGCAAATATTTCATCACCATTTTTTTTATTTTTAAATTTCTTAAATAAATACAAAGAAATTTGAGAATATACGGAGAAAAAAAACAGGAGACAGTCGTAAAATACAGGAGTCTTCGTTAAGAAAACAGGAGACATGGTAGGCATGCAAATAGATGCTTTTTACTTACACCACAAGTAGTAACTCTTTCTAAACGATTCTTATTACTCAACGTAATCTTGTAACAGCAGAACAAAAACAGAATAAATAAATGGTTACTTACGCACTAGTGATTGCTCTATATCTTTCTTGACCAGCAGTATCCCAGATTTGAGCTTTCACAGTTTTACCATCAACTTGAATACTCCTAGTTGCGAACTCTACACCAATCGTACTTTTACTTTCTAAACTGAATTCATTCCTTGTGAAACGAGATAGAAGATTTGTCTTTCCGACACCAGAATCCCCAATTAAGACAACTAAAAAATAAACCCAATTAAGAAAATTTAATTAATGATTCAAAGGTCCAGTAATCAGAAGATATACCTTGTGCATACACATTTTATATGTCTCCATTAGCCATTTTATAAATTAAAAAAAATAAAAATTTAATAATTTAAATGAAAATTTACAAAACCGAGAATATAATGTCACAATTATGAACAACGCTGCGGGGATAGTAGTTATTAATAATATCAATCTTCATCTATGAAAAGGTACCCAAACATAGAATTTAGCTCACATGTCTTATACACTCTATAACAAAAAAAATCGACGCACCAAGAAGCAATCATCCGATTGCTTTGAAATTCCGTATGCATGAATGTTTTGAACAGATATGGCTGGAATGATGCCGACTGGGGACGTATAGTCTTTAGCGACGAAACCCGCTTCCAACTGTGTCCTGATAATCACCGTAGATGCGTTTGGAGACGCACAGGGCAGAGCATTATGGTCTGGGGTGCCATTTCATCTGACAGCCGGACCCCTTTGGCCATCATTAGAGGTACACTTAGTGCACAGCGGTACGTCGACGACATCCTAAGACCTGTTTTGCTACCGTTCCCTTTGCAGCGCCCTGGGCTGGTTTTTCAGTAGGACAATGCCAGACCACATATGGCACGTGTTGCTATGAACTGTCTGCAAGCTCGTCAAACTCTTCCTTGGCCTGCCAGATCACCAGATCTCTCTCCCATCGAGCATGTCTGGGATATGATGGGAAGGCAGGGTTTAAGCTGAGTTTAAAAATTCATTAGCAAAAAAGCTAAAATCTGAAAAAAAGTTTTAGCAAAATGCTAAAATGCCATTAGGCTTATAAAATTACTTTATATCAAACAAGTACTGTAAGTTATCTGACAAAGAATAGCTTAATGTACAAGAATNTTTTGTTACGGAGTGTATACTAGTGAATTGGAATAGTATTTCGGCAATGGTAGATACACTGAAGTACTCTCCCACCAGAATTATAGCGGTGATAACTTTGTGAGAAGGCTGTATTAAGATCATTGTATTTTTAAATGCTGATAGTGAGAACTGTATTAAATTCATGATCGAGGTCACTCCTGTGTTGCCATTAGCAGTTGAGTGTATACAGGCAGACGTTGTGTAGGATTGAGACTGAGTAGCAATAGCGCGAGAAGGTGGATAATGTTGCAGTCACAAGTAGCAAGTCGACTCTTCAATGTGGACCATCTATCAAAGTTGGTGTGTTAAAATCGAAGTAGTCTCTGTCAAGGTAGGCGTGTTCACATCACGTCCGGGTCACCAATGTGGGGATAGTTGTTATTGACAATATCAACCTTCATCTATAAAAAGGTACCCCGACATAGAAGCGAGTTAACATGTTTCATAACCAGTGAATTGGAAATTTATTTTTGTAGTGGTAGACACACTACATGTGAAACGTCATTTTGTGATAAACATCCATTGCTGCCGAGGAATCCGAGGATACTACTGATTCTCATTTTATAGAGGTCCGAGTTAAATTTGTTGGACCAACAGACCAGTGTTAAATTTGAGTCCTATAATAGATTATAGTTTTATTTAAAATTATTTTTAAATTGTATAATTAAATTCACTTTTGAAGGTTCCTATATCACTTAAGTAACTATGTTCCTAACAATGCATAATGCTTACCACACACAATATTTTGAGAGATGAATTGGGAAGACCAGACGACCTCAATAATCTTAGAGCCTCATAAGGAGAATCAATGTATACTACTGAATGATATTCAAAAGGAAAAATCTCTAATCACATTAATTCATTAAGAATGAATAATTCAGTGTTCCGGCATTCGAGTTTCAGATTTTAAATTGAAATTTTTACAATAAAAAGAAAATTTAAAAAATAACAATATCATTAACTCGCACAGAAATTACAAAATTTAATTTCATCTGTTTATTTTTAAGAAAGAGTTAAATAAATCCTTTTTTATATTTGATCTTAAAGTATTATAAATGTATTTTAATAATAAGAATGGTCTTTTTTAATACAATGAAACTCCTGAAGCCCTCTGGAGCAAAAATTTATAACTTAAGCTCCTAGAGCCCTCTGGCTCCCTAATATAATTCGAACATAATGCATAAATAACTAACTGAAATTGAAAGTTCTCAATAGAAATTTAGTACAATCAATCAGTAAAACAGCACTAAAATACCAAAAAATCCAGACAAGTAAGATTTAATCTGGACAGTTGAAAATAATTTTTTAAAAATATCATCTAATAAATATAAATAACTAATACCACATTGAAACTATGAGCTGGAATAATGAATTGGAAGAATAAGTCCTACAAATTCAAGGAATGTTTACAACTGAAAAACTATTCAGAGCATGCTCCACTGATTCGGGTTTACAGGAAACACCCAGTACATCCATGCGGATAGGAATCGAGAATACAAATAATTGACCTCAATAATTATGGCTAATTGCCAGGGTTGGGTTTTTGACGTCAAAAAGTGGTTTTTGACATGACAAGGGTATAATACTGGTTTAAACCGTCAAAAACCCGTCAAAAATGTCAAAAACTGAAGTTTGCCAAGAAAATATATAAACTTCAAAACTACCAACAGTTGCCATGCATTATATTGAAATTTAATTATACTATAGGTAATCAGCAGGTTTTAAAATATTTTTTAATTAAAATTAAGGTAAAATAACAGATTTAAAATCTCAGAAATTTATATTCAAATGCATGTGCA